ACTCGGGGGCTTCTCGCTCCTTCTTTCGAGACCGCACCACACTCACGCCGCTTGGTCGGCCAGTTGCAGTCTCTCTGGCAGACCCCTCTGGGGGTCATGTCCTTGCTCACTTCTCCATTGTCCTCCCGTGTCTAGCGGCCCCATCTGGCACCCTGTCTAGTCTTTACCTCCCCTCATTCTCTACAAACTTGGTAAGTGGTGCTGACCTACAGGATGCGGGGGCTCACCAGTTCAGTCCTGCAAATCAGCGGATGACCCACTGCCGGATGCTCGGACAGGCCGACACCTGGCCACGTTTACACGTCGGCCGGGGTCGAACCTGTACACACTGACCACTGAGTCTCCTCCAGTCATTGCGTCTGTTCAGGTAGCTACGTCGGGTAAGGTGTTTGCTGCAGCGTCCAGGACTGGTCCTGAGTCTACCCCCTGCTCGTGTCGCCTCCTGTCTCACGAGACTCTCCTCTGGCACCACCGCCTTGGTCACCCCTCCCTGCTTTGTCTCCGAGGCATGGCCTCCCGTATCCTTGTCTCTGGTCTTCCCCGGTCCCTCCCTCCCCTTCCTCTGGGGCCTGCCCCTGCCTGCGTCCCCTGTGTAGAGGGGCGGCATCGGGCTGCCCCTCACTCCTCCCAGTTTCCTCCGACAGAGGCCCCGCTGCAGACGCTTCACATGGACGTGTGGGGCCCGACCTGCTGGTGGTTGACGACTACTCGCGTTACACCACAGTCTTCCCCTTGCACAGCAAGGGTGATGTCAGTGAGGTGTTGATCGACTGGATCCGCGCAGCTCGTCTCCAGCTGAGGCACAGCTTCAGCTCGGACTTTCCTGTTCTGCGTCTGCACTCTGACAGAGGCGGAGAGTTCTCCTCTGGCCTTCTGCGAGCCTACTGTCGTGCACGAGGCATCCGCCACACCTTCACGCTTCCGAACTCTCCACAGCAAAATGGGATTGCTAAGCGCCGCATTGGCATGGTCATAGATGTCGTCCGTACGTCCATGATGCATGCGGCTGCCCCCCATTTTCTGTGGCCGTTTGCGGTTCGGTACGCGACGCATCAGATCAACCTTCACCCCAGGGTCTCCATGTCGGAGACCTCCCCAGCTTTGCTGTGGACGGGGAAGGTTGGCGATGCGTCTGCGTTCCGTGCCTGGGGATCTCGGGCGTTTGTCCGCGACTTGTCTGCGGACAAGCTGTCCCTTCGTGCTGCTCCTTGCGTCTTCCTTGGCTTCCCCCCTGACGCGCCAGGGTGGCAGTTCTACCACCCCACCTCTCGCCGTGTTCTGTCCTCCCAGGACGTCACGTTTGACGAGTCGGTCCCCTACTACCACCTCTTCCCCTACCGCACTCCTTCCCTTCCCCCGCCACCGCTCTTCCTTGTGCCAGGTCCCCCCCTGGTAGACCCCCTCCCCCCTCAGGGTTTTAGCCCTTCACGTGTGTCCCAAGTAGACGCAGTCGAGCCTGTTGAGGTTGCTGGTGACTATGGTGCTGCTCAGGGTGCTGAGCCTAGGGGTGCTGGCTCTGGGGGTGCTGAGCGTGTTGGTGCTACGCCTAGGGGTGCTGAGTCTGAGGGTGCCACTACTGGGGGTGATGAGCTTGGGGGTGCTACGCCTGGAGGTGCTGAGCCTGGGGGTGCGGAGCCTCAGGGAGCTGGGCCGACTCGTGTCGCGTCTGGCGGTAGTGAGCCTGCAGGTTCTCCGCGTGCTTCGTCTCGGCGGGAGCCACTCTCTCCACAGGAACTGCGTGAGTGGTTTGTCTGGCGCTAGAGGCGTGCTGCTGGAGCTGGAGGTTCTTCAGCTGCTGACGGTGCTGGTGCCGCGGGTCCCGGAGGTGCCCGTACTGGGGGTACTGGAGCTGCTCGGCCTGCGGGTGCGACAGGAGCTAGAGCTGCTGAGGGTGTTGGCGCTAAGGCTACTGCTGTTGGTCCTGGAGGCGGTCCTGCTGGGGGTGCTACTGGTGGTGCTGGAGGTACTGGAGCTGGAGGTGCTGCTGGCGCTGGTGCTGCCGCTAGGGGTCCTGGTGTTGTCCCTGCTGTGTCTGAAGTCGCCGCGCGGCCTCGGCCGTACTTCGTTCCGCTCCTTCAGCAGGTTCTTGGTCTCCCGCCTTCTACTGGTCCTCCTCCTCCCTTAGAGTGTCCACAGCCTGTCCCGTCACAGTAACAGTTCTGGCCGGCCTCCTCACTGCCTGCTCCTTCTCCCTACACAAGTCCTACTGGAGGTCTTACTGAGCGTCGTGAGCCTACGTCTCGCCCTGCGTCGCCTGTCTGTGCTGCTCGCTCTAGTGGTCGTGGTTCGCGTCAGCGTCCTCCTCCTTTCCCTGACACGCACAGGATGTCTTTTCGTCCGTCCACTGCTCCTCTGCGTGCCCCTTTGCCTTCTCCTCCTGAGTCCTCTCTTCCTGCTCTTCCCGACCCGGAGTCGGACACTCTTCGTGCTGCCAGTCCTTCTGTCACGCGTCTCCTTGCTACTTTCTTCACTGACCCTTCCTTTGAGTCCACTGCTGCATCTGCCCTAGTTGCTGAGCTCGTCGACTTTGCTGCTCGTTGTCGTCTAGACTATGCTGCTAGTCTTGTCTCTACTCCTCTCAGTGGCAGGCAGCTATGGACACAGAGATGGCTTCTTGGAAGTCCACAGGCACCTACGTTGACGAGGTTCCCCCGCCTGGGGCGAACATCGTCAGTGGCATGTGGATTTTCAGGGTGAAGCGGCCGCCGGGTTCTCCGCCTGTCTCCAAGGCGCGTTACGTGGCTCGTGTCTTCAGTCAGCGGCAGGGAGTTGACTACTTTCAGACCTTCTCCCCCACCCCGAAGATGACCACTCTTCGGGTACTGCTGCACATAGCTGCTCAACGCGACTACGAGCTGCACTCTCTTAACTTCAGCACTGCTTTCTTACAGGTCAGCCTGCACGAGGAGATCTGGCTACACCGCCCACCTGGCTTCACTGCATCTTTTCCCCCTGGCACCCAGTGGAGCATCCGGCGGCCAGTCTACGATCTCCGCCAGGCACCGCGTGAGTGGCACGACACACTGAGGACTACACTTGCGGCTCTTGGGTTTGCTTCCTCTACTTCTGACCCGTCGCTGTTTCTGCGCACCGACACTTCTTTGCCGCCGTTCTATATCCTCGTTTATGTCGACGACTTGGTCTTTGCCACAGCTGACACTGCTGGACTCGCCCACGTGAAGTCCGAGCTGCAGAAGAGACACACGTGCACAGACCTGGGTGAACTGCGCAGCTACCTTGGCTTGCAGATCACCCGGGACAGAGCACGCCGCACCATTACTCTGGCTCAGTCATACATGGTGCAGCAGGTCCTTCAGCGCTCCGGCTTCACGTACTCCTCGCCTCAGGCCACTCCTCTGCCTACTCGCCACTCGCTCTCAGCTCTGCCTTCGGATGAGTCCGTAGAGTCGAGTGGCCCGTACCCAGAGCTTGTTGGCTGCCTCATGTACCTGATGACATGCACACGACCTGAGCTTGCATACCCTCTTAGCATTCTAGCACGCTATGTTGCTCCTGGGACACACAGACCGGGGCACATGGCTGCAGCAAAGAGGGTGTTGCGCTACTTGTGCAGTACGTCGGGCATGGGGCTTGTGCTTGGAGGGCAGAGTCCAGTGGTCCTCACTGGGCACGCAGACGCTTCTTCGGCTGACGACCAGGCTACGCAGCGGTCATCACAGGGTTACACCTTCAGCCTTGGTTCCGGCTCTGTCTCGTGGCGGGCTACCCGCTCGTCTTCAGTTCTCGGCTCCAGTTGTGAGGCTGAGATCTACGCCGGGGCCATGGCTGCACAGGAGCTTCGTTGGCTCACCTACCTGCTGACTGACCTCGGAGAGCCGCCTCGTTCTCCTCCAGTGCTGTACGTAGACAACAAGGCCATGCTGGCCTTGTGTCGAGAGCAGAAACTGGAGCACCGAACGAAGCACATTGCTCTCCGCTACTTCCTTGCTCGTGAGCTACAGCAGCGTGGTCAGCTACGCCTTGCGTACGTGGCCTCTGAGGCCAACACTGCTGATATCTTCACCAAGGCACTTGCGCCTTGTGATCATCAGCGCTTCTGTACTCATCTGGGTCTTGTACCTATCTTGCCTCACTTGCTCACCCCTTTACCTTGTTTGTACTGTTACGTATATATATACACACCTGCTCTTGCTTGTCTAGCCTTATATATATATGTAATCCTGCATGTGAACTTGCCTTGTGGCCTTGAACTTGTGCTCGGAATGTGTGCTGACTTTGTGATCCACCCTGAGCTTGCTTTGCTTTGCTTGGCTGGTCTTGTGACCCCTTGTTCTCCCCCACTTTGTCTATGGGGGTGTGTCAGACATATATGACATAGCTACTGTAGGCTATAGTGGGGTAGCACATATGGGGTACTGTTTTCTAGGGTTTGTACTTCTACCCAACTTTGCCTTAGTCATTTTCATTCATCGTTTCTTCTCATTACATGCACGTTGGCCTGGGGGATTATGGACGCACTTACCCGCTACTCAAATAAGCCCTTTTATCCTTGTGATTAGTGGGTGGGATTCAGACATGGTATCAGAGTGAAGTTATCGGGTTCGAATCCCGGTGTGTGCATTTCGGGCATCCCAGTGCGGGGGGGTGTCAGAGGACCAATAATGATCCTTGATTGATCATAGAGAAGGGTTACAAGCACGTTGGCCCGTGGGGTTATGGGCGCACTTACCCGCTACAAAAATAAGCCATTTTATCCCAGTGGTTAGTGGCTGGGATTCTGACAATGTGGGGTACAGTTTTTGGGGTTAGTTATATGTACCCCAACTCACAGTAATACAGGCATCATTCCGTTTCTGACAGAAGCGGCTATTGAGAAGGACGCTGTGCAGATGTTGCTGCAAGATCTGCGGAGACTAATTAATTTCGTAGAGATTTTTTTGCAGCTGGCACACCTGGAAGCCTCACACTTAACCGTACTAATTTATCATGACAACTTTTGGACTAAATGATGTGGTATACAAAATTATGGCTCGAATGCTATGTTTGTGTATGAAATATGTTTAGTGTCCAAACGAGTCCTAGATTCTGGCTGACGCTGAACAGTTTCTCGATTCAGTGCTGGTCTTCCGCCCATCTCCCAGTCCCAGACTCGTTTTCAGGGAATAAAAGTTGAACTAGCTGTTGAGGCGGCGGTGGCTGTACTGGTATAGGAGCGTTACTCGCATGATGTTTCCAATAAAAGTCTGCTCAGCTTTCAGGCAATGATATTGGTATATTTGAGGTGTCATTCCTCTTACACTGCCGATCCTACCGAACGGCCAACATAGAATCCATATAATCGGTTCTCTGGATTCTCTGCGTGTAAAACCGTCCATAGGCAGCTCACTGGCGTTTTCGCAGAATCCGCCGCCCACTTCGAGGCGCTGGCTCCGACCAGGTATTGGTTTCCGAGTTATTTATGCAAGGCGTTTTTGAAAAAAAAACAAAAAACAAAAACGAAAAACAATCGGTAGTTATCTGTTCACACACGTATTGCTTCCTGACCATGTAGAGTTACTTCTGGTGGTTCCGCGGTTACGGAGCGGGTTTGGCGCGCGCACGTTTTCTTGTTAACGTGGAGATCTGGGTGCTGGGACGCGCGATGCGATGTTGGTAGTGCCACTGGGTGCGGAACACTCGGATAGCAGGAGGGTTGGGGGGGAGAAAGCGCAGGGTAGCGGGGAGGCATGGGAAAAAATGCGGAGGTTTTTTGTGAGCCCCCTCGGAAGTTCTGGGTGGGACGCGCAATGCGGCGATGATGGTGCTGCTGGGTCGGGGAAGCGGAGGGAAGCGGGGAGCGCACGTCCGGTTCCAAAAGCGTCGCACATCTTTTGTAAACAAAACTCGGATATTTTGGCTTTCCCTTTAACAATTTCCCCCTTTCCTTTCCTCACCCTTTGCCCCACTCTCCCACCACGACCTCCCCCCCCCCCCCCCCCGCTTCCGCTCCCTCTCCTCCCAGCATGTCCGCCCTTTCCCTGAAGCGGTGGCGCGTGGGGGAGAGGGTGGAGGTTTCCCGCCCGGGGGAAGGCCTTCAGGGGGGATGGTTCACCGCCGTGCTGATGGCGGTAGATAGAGGCGCGCAGAGGGGTTCAGTGCGGTACGAGGAGATGATGGAGGCCGACGGGGTGACCAGGCTGAGTGAAGACGTCAGCTTGGATCAAATCCGCCCCGTGCCACCTGGCATAGAGGGAGACTACCCTGCCACGTGGACTGAGGTAAGTGGAGGAGGAGATTTGTGGAGGCGTGGGGTGGGACATAGATGTCAACTACTTGCCATGCTTGTTATATGGGGAAATCGTAAGCTAAAAAAGCACTCATACCTGTTCTCCCTGCTATCTCGACTCTTCCGTCCCACCTTCCCTACTCTTCCTGCAGCCCCCCTCCCCAACCTTCATTTCTACTTAGTGCTGCTTTTCTGATTCCTCTTCAAACACCCCTCGCCTCCCTACAGGGCCATGCGGTGGAGGCTTGGCACAACAAAGCGTGGTGGTTTGGCACCATCCTTGGCCGAACCTCGCCCGAACCTGATTTTCCCGGTTCCGCGTCTGGCACTAGGCTCGGCACCGAGGCTGAGATGCTGGCGTTCCGAGTGTGTTTGCAGGGATCAGAGGAGCACAAGGTGTTTCCGGCCCGTGACTTGCGCACAAGAATGGAATGGCTTCAGGGTATGTGGATACCTCTCAAGCCTACACCTGCTGCTACAGCTGACACCGACTCTGTTGCTGCAGCTGCCACAGCAGCTACTGCTTCTATGGGAGCTCCTGCTGCTGCTTCTAGTGCACCTGGCGCCACTGCAACTGCTGCTGCTGTTACAGATGCAATTATTGGTGGTGCCAGTGAATCAGCGTGTGCTCATGCTGAACTTGATGCTGCAACCGATGCTGCAACCGATGCTGCAACCGATGCTGCAACCGATGCTGCAACCGATGCTGCAACCGATTCTGCAACCGATGCTGCAACCGATGCTGCAACCGATGCTGCAACCGATGCTGCAACCGATGCTGCAACCGATGCTGCAACCGATGCTGCAACCGATTCTGCAACCGATGCTGCAACCGATGGTGCAATCGATGTTGCGACCGATGCAGCAACCAATGCTGCATACCATATCACAACTGATGCTGTAACTGCACCTATTTGTGATGTCGCTAGCGACGCCATAACTGATTCGGTAAATGAAGCTGCAACTGAAGCTGCAACTGAAGCCATAACCGAAGCTGTAACCGAAGCTGTAACCGAAGCTGTAGCTGATGCAACTATGGCAGCCGCTGCAGCAGCAGCCGGTGATTCATGTGCATTCGAAGTTGATGGAAAAAGAGGAGCAAGGGCCGAGGTCCTAGAGGGGGTTCCAGCGGCTACAGGGGGCGAGACCCTGGCAGCAGCTGCTGATGTGGCAGCTGGTGATGCATGTGTACTCGGGGGTGACAGAAAAAGGGCTTCAGGGTCCGAGGCTCAGGAGGGGGGTGAGGTTCTAATCGGGGATAAAGCGACTACTTCTGAGGCGTCTCACTCTCACAAGGCATCAGCGGCCAATTCTCAGGCAGGGGACGAGGCCGTAATGGGGAAACGCGCGGGAGCGGGCAGGGAAGCAGCGGAAGGAGACGGCATGGCAGCAGCAGCTTCAGGAGGAGCAGCAACAGCAGTAGCAGTAACATTAGAGGACAGAGAAAGAGGTGAAATACCAGCAGCGGCAGAACGAATGGCTGTAGCAGCAGAGGGAACAGCAGGGGACGGAGAACGAGGTGGAATGCCAACAGGACCAGCAGCAGCAGCTGAACAAGTAGCAGCAGCGCCAGGTGTTGGGGGGTGTGGAGGAGAGTGCAGGGAGGGGCAGGGTGGCGTGAAGACGCAGTCTGCTACCCATGAGGAGAAAGATCAAAGGGAGCAGCTGACTATATCGCATGGGCAGGTGATAGTAGGACAGGGTGCCAATAGTGAAGGTCGGACAGGCCCTGTGAGTGTGGTTGATGCTGGTGATCGTGAGGGGTGTGAGGGAGGAATTGACAGTAAGGCAGGTGTTCCAATATTGAAAGGCGCAGTGGGCTCTGTGAGTGTGGGTGAAGCTGATGATCGTGAGGGCTGTGGAAAAGGAGGAGTTTTCCGAGGGGAAGGTGGAGAGAGGGAGGGTGGAGAGAGGGAGGGTGGAGCGAGGGAGGGTGAGGCACAGACTAGAATGAACGGGAAGGGTGGGGAGGAGGGTGGAGAGAAGAATAGAGAGGAGGGTGGTAGGAAGGGTAGAGAGGAGGGTGGAGATCATAAAGGAGAGGAGAAGTGTAGGGGGAGCGAGAAGAGGGGAGAAGAGAAGACCACTGGTTTGGCCACGATACTTGGCAGGACACCAGGCATGGAGTCACATCAGTGTGTGCGGCTGCATGGTGCAGTGGGAGGGGATGGGGTGGGGCAAGGAATGGAAGAGAAGAAGCAAGGTGGGGCCTCACAAACAGACGAGGCGTGTGCGCGTGAGTGCTCAGCAGCAGACGTCACCTGTCCGGATGACGCCTGTCAGGATTTTGCTGCTTTTCAGAGCGACCCCTGTGAGAACAAACCCTGTGAGGATGCTGGCAGCTGTGAGGACGACCCGTGGGACCTGGGGGCCGCTGCTGCTGATGCTGCTGTTGGGAGGCATGGGGCTGCTGCCGTTGCAGTGGTGGTGTACAAGCGGAGAAAGACGGCTCAGGGATGGGTGGGATCAAACCCGGCTGGCCACAAGGGAGGGCTGTGTACCCACAAGGGGACGCTTGAGTGGCGCTCCCAAAGCAGAGAAAGCTTGAGTGGTAGTCTTAGGCTTAGCCCGGCTCGTGTAGTGACGCAAGGAGGAGGGCCGTTGGGAGGTCCGTGGGGCTCAGTGGGAGTGCAGCTGGGGAGAGGAGAGGTGGAGGAGGAAACGGAGGTTGGCAGGTTTGGTGGTAAGGGATCAGGGAGTACGGGTGATAAGAGTGCGGTTGGTGGGAAGGTGAGGAAGAGGGAGGGGCTTGCGAGGCAGTGCAAGCGCACGAGAGGAGGAGCCGAAAGAGGAGAGGAAGAGGATAGGGGGGCAGAAGGAAGGAGAGGAGGAAGCCTCAGGGCCTCGATGCATGCAGCCAGCACCAATCCGCCTTCCACCCGCGATGTGGCATTGAAATCACCTACTCTGGTAAAAACACCCCTTCTGTTGAAAGCACCTGCAGTACCACCTGCCACACCTGTGGCTGCACGTGTGACTGGCGCTTCAGCCATTGGAGCAGCTGGTCTTGGCACACCTATCGGCACACATGCCATTGGTGGTGCCCCTGCTGTTGGTGCTCCTACGACTCCTGCAGCCATGCCTGCGACTCCCATGGTGGCAGGGGAGAAGCTGCGGGGCCAGCGGTGCCAACTGCCAAACCAACTGGCAAAGGCGGCTTCTGAAGACAGGCGAGGAGCAGGAGGGACGGTAGATGGTGGGAGTAGCAGTGAGGAGGTGGAGGAGGTGGGAGAGGGGTTTGGAGAGGGGGTGGGAGAGGAGGTGGGCGAGGAGGTGGAGGAGGTGGGAGAGGAGGGGGTGGGGGAGGAGATGGCAGGTTACGGAGTGGTGGTGGTGGTGGGGAGTGAGGATGAGGGAGAGGAGGGGGGAAGGGAGCAGGAGATGGGAAGTGGTGGAGTTGCAGGGAAAAGGGCAAGGAAAGCAGGGAGTGAGGAAAAGGGAGAAGATTGGGATCTGGAGGAGGTGGAAGAGACGAAGATTATCAGGGGAAGGGATGAGACGTATGCTGAGGAAGACAATGGTGGTGGTGGTGGTGGTGGTGGTGATGGGGATGGTGATGAGGACGCAGATGATGGTGATGGCGATGATGATGTGGTGGAGGTGGTGGGAGAGGAGGCTTGCGTGAGCATAGTGCGGCACGGGCAAGCAGCACCAGGGGTGGGGCATCATGTGACGGTCACATCCCCATCTGCACTCACCACCGCAGCAGGCCGAGCCATTACTATCGGACACGGACACAGCCACGGACACGGACACGGCTCAGCAGGGCTTACAGACAAGGCACATCCAAGAGCACATGTGGGCTCACATACAGGACTCACAGAGGCGTATACTGCAGCGCATGCACGAGCACAGGCAACGGCGCATGCACCCCATGCCCCAGTAACTCCTGCTAATGCTGGTAACCGTGTTACCTCGTCAGGCTGGGTAACCAGCACTCCTCCAGGCCAGCTGTTGTGCTCCGAGCAGCACATAGGTGGAGTGAAGCGGCAGCGCTTCTTCAGCTCCTGGCACCGCCAGTGCCCTCTCTTTCAAGACGCTCACACTCACACAGGGACAGAGGACCTTGCCGTGCACCGGCAGAGTGCTCTCTTTCAAGACACTCACACTCACACAGAAACAGAGGGCCTTGCCGTGCCAAGGATACCGGTAGTCCACCATGCCAGCTCTGGTGCGGCCGAGGTGAATGAGCAGGATAGGCCGTCCACTGGATCGCTCTATAGAGAGGATAAAGGGGGTTTGGCGGATGGGGAGGGGAGAGGGGGCAGGGGAGTGGAGGCTGTGGCGGAGGCGGCATATGGGGGGGTGTTGGATGCGCTGTGGGTGCAGGGAGGCGGAGAAGGGATCACGTGGGATAAGGAGGTTCTGCTTACAGACCTGCGCAGGGCTTTAAGTATTTCGAATGACCAGCACTCCCGGCTGCTTGCTGCTCTGCTGTCGCGGAGTGAGGTGCGAGACGCTTGCTGGTGACGTGTTTGAGGCATCTCTGATGAAATATTTGCTTTCCCATAATGGTACTTGTGTGTGCATGTGCTGCTCTGCTATCAGAAGTGGGGCTGTGTGTGTGTGAAGTAGCAGCTGATGATCCAGGCACCGAGTTCAGGCTCAGGAAGCAGCCAACTTTTGTAATCAGGGGCTCGTACATATATTGTCATAAAGAAAAGAAACTAAAAGCACAAAACCATGATAATTGTAGGTTATATATCTTATTTTAGTGAAGCTGTTGTTGAGGTCGGTGTGGGAGGTTTATGGAAAATAATGTTTTGAGCCTTTTTCTTTCCACGTGTCTAGATTGGATTGTCGCTCCATCCTTGGCCCTCGAGTACTTTTCTTCGCCCACGAACCGTTGGGCCTTTCGCAAGCCACCACGTGGGGCCGCCTCCCTGTCAATTGGTCAAATTCCACTACTGCCACCGCGCTGACGCGTCACTAAAAAACTCTATCTTTGCGATCCACCAAGAAATCTTTACGGGCGAGTGTGTCAGAACAAAAAAGACCCGCGAAACGAGCCTCGGAAACTCCGCACAGTGCACCCCTCCGCCTGCAAGATCCTCCTCTATTTCTTCCCCAGGCTGCCCTCCGCAACCCCTCCGCCCCCACCGCAGGGCTCTCTAGGGAACCACGTTTGTTGAGGCCTGCTTCGAAGTTCTCGAGAGAAGTCCCTTGTCGCGGAAGTCGTGTTTCCACCACCCCTGTTTAGGAGGATACAGCGAACGAAGTCATGCGAGACTGTCGACCCACAATTGTTTCCCGCATGCTAAATCATAGCCCGAGAAGTTTCGCGAAATCAAGTCACACAACCTCGAAAGGAATCGCGAAGCCATCGTGAACGACACAGACTGATTCGAGTGAATCTCGAGGACCTAACCTGCTCGAACAAAGGTGACGCGTCCTAACCTGCTCGACTCACTCCCCCAGACAGACACGCCTTGTCCTAGATATCACCCACTTCCGTCCCATAACTTTTCTTTTTCCCAGATTCACACGTCATTTATTGCTGATCTGCCTGATAATCTCGTTTGGTATTGTCCAGGGTGTGGAGGCCACTCATCCCTTGGTGCGTAGCAAATTCGTCTTGATCCGACGGATTTAGTATGTAATTGTATAGCGATCGTCTGACACAACCGATCCTATATTCCTCGTCCTGCTCCGTTTACTAGCGTTACTTCATCCGATCTTACTCCGTTGATTCAGCGTTTTCACGTACAATACTTATTCTAGCTAATGCACCTTTTTTCCTTCAGGAAGGGTCCTCGTCCGCATTCTCTTATTGCCGTGGAGCCTTCACGCACATGACGATAGGATGAGCATCTGATGCAGCTGCTTCATTCCTTTCCTCGGGCCCTCTCTGCGGGCGATCAGTCATGGTCCGTTTCTTTCTTCATTCGTCGTCTGTGTCTTCACTACGAGCTTTCTCCTTCATGTTTGTCAATATCTTTCGGGTCAGGGTTCACCAGTATTTTACAGAGAAGCTGCTGCGATGAATAAACTTGCAGAGAGGGTCTGCTCGATGCGTCAGTCGCTTAAGTTGTTGTGTTCCTTCGTGTGTTCATAAGAGTTATTTTCATCGATCAGACTTATTCCTGTCCGTTTAGATCTATGTATTGCTACTGAAAGAGGCAGCAACGTGAAACAGAAGCCGTTTTATTGCAGATGTCGTGTTCTTTTTTTTCGCATTAGTCCCTGTCTATGCTCGATGGAGCTGGGTGTGTTCCTCATTGCGTCATTGTTCGTGTCAGATTGTGTGTGAGTTTGCATCACCTTCAGAAACTTCCATTTGTTTATTCCAATCGTGTATCTAGTCCGTGTCAGCTTCATGTGTCAACCCTATCGTCTCGTCATTGGAGCAGTCAGAATAGTTGCGTGTCAGCTCCTTTTGCTCGGATTCGGACATTCCGTCCGCTCCTTGATATGCAATCTGATAAATTGTTCACATGACTAATTGTCGTCGCCACCACTCGTCCGCATAATCGTTCATCAGAATGAGCAGCTATGCTCAACTTCTCCGAATGCTTCGTTAATTGCGTTTCTGTTTCTCCCGAATACCCTTACAGGCGTGCATGAGTGGCGTAGCACCGCTGGCAGCAGCATCAGCACCAGCATCAGTCTCAGTATCAGTATCAACATCAGCATCAGCAAACTTGACATCCTCCCTCTGCGTCCGCCCGAAACCTCCTTCGCACACGCTCACCACCACCGCATTCCGCTCCCTCTCCGCCACCTCCGCCACCGCGACCACAGCAGCAACGGCAGCCAAATCCAGCCGTCTGCTGTACGCTCTCCGCCCATCCTCGCCCCCTAGGCAGCGCTCCCCTCCCCGCCTTCCCACGGCTGCTGCTGCTGCTCTGTACAGCGCAGGGCATGCCCTGGACGGCTCCCCTCGTCTCCGATCCGCAGCTGCTGCCTCTGCTGCCGGCCGCAGCCTGTTCCTGGGACAGAGGTGAGACGCGGGTCGTGGTTGCGTACAGAGGCTGCAATTTCACTTCATGCTTTCAGGAAACCCGCTTTGCGCAGTTGACGGTTTAGCTGGTCATTTCCCGCGTTGTACGTGCTCCTTGCAGCTTCGTGCGGTGTGAATTCGCCAGTGTCTTTTAGCATACGTGAAAACTGGTGACGGGGAGTGTGCGTACTGGCTGTTGATGCCAAATCTGTTCCTTCCTTCCTTCCTTCCTTCCTTTCGTATTCTGTGCATGGGACACATCCCTCTTTCCGCAATATGGATGTGCGTGGATCACACATCGACAGGAGCTTGATCCTGGGTCAGCCTGGGAAAAGGTCTCCACCCACTTTGGACTTCAAAAGGCTTCGAATTGCAAACGAGGTAACGTCGCCGTCATCAAATTGCTCTAGCTGAATTTATCCCGTCTTGGGACGACTTTAGGGTCCCGTACAATCTAAGTCATATCCATTCATTGCTCTTGCGGAACCTGATGACACCAAGGTAATCCACCATGCGCCCGATCAAGGGCGTCGCGTTAGGGCCGTCGCCTCCCTTTTCCCCCTCTCAGATGGACGAATTCGCTCCGGTGACCCGCGTCGCTGCCTCCCCCACCCTCTCCCCCACTCCCCTCCCGTCCCGTCCCGTCCCCTCCCCTCCGCTCGCCTCCCCTCCCAGCAGGCGGGCCCAGCAGAGAGCGCTACATCGGACGCCAATGGCACTGCGCTGAGCCCCACTGCGTCCTCCGAGGACACCATTCAGGCGCTCAAGGCGTCCCTCGCCGCCGCAGAGGAGGCAGCAGCCAGCGCGCTGCAAGCCAAGGAGCTCGCTTTAGAAGCAGTAACCGTGGCGGAGGCAAAGGTCGAAGCCATGTCCGCTCAGATGGTCCTGACTACGGAAGAGGCGGTTAACGAAGTAGAGGCGGCAAAGGAGAAGTTTAAAGAGGAGGTAGCGAGGCTGCAGCGGGAGAAGGAGGAGGTGGAGCAGCAGCTGGCGCAGGCGAAGCAGGAGGGGATTGATCTCGCGATGAAGGTGGAGCAGATGGCGGCGCTGGCAGTGCAGGAGCAGACCCAGGCTGTGGCGGAAGACGCGCGGCTTAAGATCGCCGCGGCCAAGGCGGAGGCGGCGGATCTGGCGGCGCAGATGGAGGAGAGGATTAGGCTTGCTGCGGATGAGGCTGCTGCTGCCGGTAGGTCATGCCGTGCTTGCTGTCTGTCTCTGTGTGACGCATGGCATGATTAGGTTAAAATATCTGCAGCTTTGTCCTTTTCCACCCCCTCCTGGTTTCTGTGGCTCATGTCAGCTGATCCTTCCCTATTCCGCTGTGTCCTCTCCCTCGGCTGTCCTGCTCCTATTCCGCCTCTGTCCCTGCCTCTGCCCCTGCTCCTCCCCGTGCCCCTCCCCCTGTCCCTCCCCGTGCCCTTCCCCCTGTCCCTCCCCCTGCCCCTCCCCCTGTCCCTCCCCCTGCCCCTCCCCCTGTCCCTCCCCCTGCCCCTCCCCCTGTCCCTCCCCCTGCCCCTCCCCCTGCCCCTGCCCCTGCCTGCCCCTACCTCCCCCACGTGGCTTGCCAGTGATCGAGGAGGCGAAGGCGACGATAGAGGACGCGATAGCAGCGGCAGACATCGCCAAGGAGCAGGCGCGGTCGGCGGAGGCGGCGCTGCAGGAGCGGCTGGACGTTTTGGACCGCCTGGGGCACGCGGAGGTGGCGCTCATGCGCTCCGAGGAGCAGCGCACGGCGCTGCAGCTGAAGCTGGAGCAGGCAGAGAGCGAAAAAGAGACCCTGCGGATGGAGATCAAGGTGGGCAATGGGAAAGGTTCGAGGTTCTGGGGTTTGGGGATGGGCGAGGGTGCTGGTTTGAGTTTCAAGATGAGAGTTTGAGCGTTGATGAGGCAGCTGCCGAGTGATATCGAGTCATCTTGATTGTGCGTTATTTGAGGCGACCTCCCACTCCCGCACACCTGTACCCACCCATGTTCAGGCGGCCATTGCGCGTGCGGAAGCAGCAGAGTCGCGCATAGTGTCAACGCAGGCAGCAGTGGCGGAGATCCAGGCGCTGGCGGAGAGGACGGCCAAGGAGAGAGAGGAGGGCACTGAGAGGGCACTGGAGGCCATGCGGGTGAGTTGTCATGCTGGTGGGTTGACAGGGGGGATGGATTGCCACGCGGGCGGGTGGGTGCGGCACGGGTGGGGTGCGTGTGTGTGTGTGTGTGTGGCATGCTGGTGAGTTGGGGTGGCACTCAAGGGTGTATGCTCGAGTGTGTTAGAAGTTTTCTACCACCCCCCTCTGTCCCCTGTAACAATCTCGCCCTTTTTGTCCTCCTCCACCTTACCCCCTCATGCTGTTTCCCCTCCTCCCGTACTCCATTTACCCCCTGTCCCCCACTCCCCCCGGCTCCCAACTCTGCCTCCTCAGCTGGCCTCGGAGGGCAGGGAGAAGGCGGCAGCGCTGGCGTACAAGGCGGAGACGGAGAGTCTGAGGGCGGCAGCCATGGCGGCTCAGAAGGCGGACAAGGTCAAGGACCAGGCTGTGGCCCGCCGCTTCGCCGCGCTGCAGAGGAGCCTGGCGGCTGCGGAGGAGAGCACACGGAAGTGGAGGGAGCGGTGCCTGGCTGTGGAGGAGCTGTTCGCTCTGGTGAGTTACGTGTTTGGGTGCTTGTGCTGTCGTATAGGCACCTTGCCACACTGTAGAATAACCTGAGTGGCTTATCTCAACACTTTCTCATTTTCCTCCCCGCACCCCCTTCCTGTCACAACCTCGCAGGCCAAATCGCGTGGGCTGGATGCGGTCAAGGAATCCTCCTCCGCGCCTGCCCCTGCCCCTGCTGTTCCTGCTGTTCCTGCTGCCCCTGTGGAAGCAGAAGTTGGCGAATCCGTGGCGCGTGGGCGCATGGACGTCATGCTGGGGACGCAGTCGGAGAAGTGGCGCATTCTGGCTGACGGGCCCCGGAGGGAGCGACCTGAATGGCTGCAGCGCAAGACACTCACCACCACGCCGCTGCCGTCGCTGCCGGTGTCTGTGGAACTGGAGAATGTGCAGGCTGCCGTGCCGTTGAAATTGCCCTCGCCTGATGACGTGTGGTCCATCGCCCTGCACAAGGTGAGGTGATGCGTTGTCACCGAGTGTTGAGGTCAGGATCAAAGGCACTATGGCTGTGCCGCTGCAGCTGCCCACGCATGACCACGTGTGGTCCATCGCCCTGCACAAGGTGAGATGTGATGGTAGTCTCTGTCTCTTCAGGAGGTGATATGTGATGGAGTTGCTTTTAAAGGCTGCTTTGGAGACAACATACATATGTACGAAGACTGGTTGCCGAATCTAATCCAACTGAATGCCTGTCAACCGCACTCAACACCAGGTGGCGGACGACAAGTTCACCAAGGAGGCAGAGGCGCGCGAGGCGGAGGCGAAGGAGATTGAGGAGAAGCGCAAGGAGCTGGAGCGCGCCCTGCAGCGCAAGGCGCCCAAACGCATCCGCTCACCCGAGGAGCTGGAGGAGAGCAAAGGTGAGGGTTGTGGGGGAGGATGGGGAGGGGAGGGCATAAGGGCAGGGGTAGGAGGGAACGGGTTGGAGGATGGAAGATGGGGAGGAAATCGAGTCATATGTGGTTCTTGGGGGGCCAAGTGTGTGGGCGCTGTGGGGAGGATGGTTCGCCTTTGTTTCGATTACCTCCTTCCCTCTCCTCCTCCTTCCATCTTTCCGTCCCATCCCTCGTCCCCCGTCTTTCCCTCCTCTCCCGTCCACTCTCCTCCATCCTTCCCTCCCTCCCTCCCTCCCTCCCTCCCTCCCTCCCTCCCTCCCTCCCTCCCTCCCTCCCTCCCTCCCTCCCTCCCTCCCTCCCTCCCTCCCTCCCTCCCTCCCTCCTTCTCTCCCTCCCTACCTCCCTCCCTACCTCCCTCCCTGCCTCGCTCTGTCATACATTTTGCTTTCCTCCATTCGTCTCCAGCAGTCCCTCATACCCATATCGCACGTCCCACTTCTGTCAGTGTCTGTGCCTTCTGTTTGCTCACATCCGCAGACCCGTTACCCCTCCCGCTACAACTCTAATACTCTTTACCAGCCACTCTCATAACCACCCACACTCACACTCTTGTGGCTTTCCACTTTCTACAAGTAGCTAATCTTGCCTTGCTCACTGTCACCACACCTTTCATCCACCACCTTTCGCATCTAAGCCTCAGGGCCTTCTCTTTCTGATATGCCCCAACTTGTTTCCTGACCTTGCGTGCAGAGTCCGGCACGGGAAGTGGTCGCGAGGTCGTGGTAAGTGATATTCTTTCGTTATCTGCTCTAAAGTGGGGGGTGAGGATGGGTCTGGACAAGTGAGGGGGAAATGTAGAAGGGGAAGGAGAGGATGAGTGGAGTGGGGATTGCAGGAATCCTAAGCAATCATATGCGAAGTCATCCCCACTCCACTCACCCCTTCACCCTCCCCCATATCCCTCCGCACCCATCTTCGCCCCTCCTCACCCCTCCACACCGCCCTGCAGATCCAGGCGTTCAACTGGGAGAGCAACAAGCGCGACTGGTACCTGGAGCTCGCCCCCAGAGCTGCTGACATGGCAGCCTGTGGCATCACGGCTGTGTGGCTGCCTCCCCCTACAGAGTCGGTGTCGCCCCAAGGTGTGAAGCGGTGGTTATGGGCGGTCAGTGGTGGTCAGGGTTGGTCCGTGCTGGTCAGGGATGATGAGTGGTGGTCAGGGGTGCTTAGTGGTGGGAGGTGCACTGCAAGTGCTGGGTGGTCTCTTCTGGGTGGAGCTCGCCCCCAAGGCTGCTGACATTGCGGCCTTCGGCATCACTGCTGTGTGGCTGCCTTCCCCCACAGAGTCAGTGTTGCCCCAAGGTGCGTAGCGGTGGTTTTGGGTGGTCAGTGTCAATGGGTGGGTGGTTCATACCCAATGGTGAGTGGGTGGGTGCAGTCACAAGGCAGTGAAGTGGTGTGTTCAGGTCTATACAACCTCAACTCCGGTTAACCCCTGTCATCCCTTCCTTTCATCACTTCTTTGACCGCTGTACTGCAATTGCTCCTTTCATCTCACTGCGTTTCATCTCTGCCCCCCTGTGCGGTGGTGTAGGGTACATGCCGGTGGACCTGTACAACCTCAACTCGTGCTACGGCACCAAGGAGCAGCTGCAGTACTGCATTGACGAGCTGCACAGCCACGACCTGCTTGTAAGTTCCGCCCTCTCTCCCTGCCCTCCCAGCTAGTGTCTTCTCACTACTCTCCCTACCTTTCAATACTCGTGCTACGGCACCAAGGATTAGCTGCAGTACTGCATTGACGAGCTGCACAACCACGACCTGCTTGTAAGTTCCGCCCTCTCTCCCTGCCCTCCCAGCTAGTGTCTTCTCACTACTCTGATGTGACTTTTGAGTCGACTCAAAAGTCGCTAGTGTCTTGTCACTACTCTCCCCACCTTTCATTGCTTTCAATACTCGTGCTACGGCACCAAGGATTAGCTGCAGTTCTGCATTGATGAGCTGCACAGCCACGACCTCCTTGTACGTGCTCTCCCTGTCTGCCTTACTTGAAACATGGCCCCCTCGTCTCGGACATCCTCCTTGGGCCTTTTCGCGTGGACATGCCTCCGCTCCTCTGCGCTTTGTGCCATCCACCCCTCCAATATCCCACCGTGTTGCCCCATGATGACTTGGCCCTTCCCCCAAATCACCCCTCCACGCCACTCACAGACGTTGCTGTTGAACCACCGTTGTGCGTCCAAGCAGAACCTCTTCCTCACTTCCCCCGATCCTATCCCTTCCCGCGGCCCACCCCGCATCCTTCGCTGCTCACACACCAGGTGCTGGGAGGCGTGGTGCTGAACCATCACTGTGCGTCCAAGCAGAGCCCCTTCCTCACTCATCTCTCTCTTCCTTCCCACCCCCCACCTACCACCCCCCACCCCCCACTCTTTGCTTCCATGCCCTCCAGGTGCTGGGAGACGTGGTGCTGAACCACCGCTGTGCGTCCAAGCAGAGCCCCGAGGGTATTTGGAACATTTTTGGCGGCAAGCTGGCTTGGGGCCCCGATGCCATTGTCAGGGACGACCCTAACTTCCATGGCCGCGGCAACCCCAGCAGTGGTGAGCTCAGAGCGTAGCAATGGCTGGTCTAGTGGCGGAAGAGTGAGAGCTTTGCGTCCAAGTAGAGCCCAGAGAACATTTGGAACATCTTTGGTGGCAAGCTGGCGTGGGGACCAGAAGCCACTGTCAGGGACGACCCTAACTTCCATGGCCGGGAAAACCCCAGCAGTGGTGAGCAGAGAGTGAGACTGCAGTGGTGAGAGTGAGAAGCGTGTCGAGGGGCTAGCATGGCAAGCTGGCGTGAGGGCATTTGGAAGATTGATTACTTGCAGGACTTGGTGTGGAGGGAGGGACATCTGCGAGTGGCTGCTCTCTTCGCCTCCGATGGCTGGCTATGACAGCTAGCGCCTGGACTTCAAGTCCACTCTCAACTTAGTTCCTTCCTGTCCCCTTCTCCCGTTCCCCTTCCCCTTTCCCTCCCTCTCCCCTTCCCCTCCCTCTCCCCTTCCCCTCCTCCCGCTCCCCCCAACTCTTCCTGTCAAACCCCAGGCGACATATTCCACGCGGCGCCCAACATTGATCACTCGCAGGACTTTGTGCGGAAGGACATCTGCGAGTGGCTGCGCTGGCTGCGCGCCGATGTGGGCTACGATGGCTGGCGCCTGGACTTCGCCCGGTGAGAGCACAAGGGGGTTCCTGAGTCGGTTGTGACACGCTCTCAAAAAGGTGTTATCCGGATCCGGATTCGTGCATCCCGCGAAAACATGAGTTCATAATCTTCTCTCTTCATGTATTCTGGACACGAATCTCTCTGATCCCTTGTCATTCTCTCGCAGTGGGTTCTGGAGCGGGTATGTGAAGGAGTACATTGAGGCGTCGAGCCCCGCGTTGCCGCGTGTATGAAGGAGTACATCGAGAAATTCAAACCCGAATCTCTGTGATCCCTCCCCATCCTTATTGCAGTGGGTTCTGGGGCGGGTATGTGAAGGAGTACATTGAGGCATCGAGCCCCGCGTTCTGCATTGGGGAGTACTGGGACAGCCTCAGCTACGAGGGCGGCACCGTCTCCTACAACCAGAGTGAGCGCCCTGACCGCCAAACTGTCAACAGTGCATTGTCAGGTAACCCATAAGTTCTCAAGACGCACTTACTTGCCTTCAATAAACAGGCGCCTTCTGTGCACGATCTAATGTTGTAAACCTGCCCCTCCCCTCCCAACCCCACTTTGATCTAGGACACTCACAGGCAGCGCATCATCAACTGAATCAACGCCACTGCAGGCAACGCCTTTGCACGTATCACCATCATCTGCCCATCATCTGTCCTATTTTTCCCCCACCACTCCGTTCCGCTCCCCCCTGTCCTCCCTTCTATCTCAGACGCGCACAGGCAGCGCATTATCAACTGGATCAACGCCACTGGAGGCACCTCCTCTGCTTTTGACGTCACCACCAAGGTGTGTTGATACCTGCTGTGTTTTCTGCTTGCATGACAGTGTGAGTTTTTCGCAAGACCGTAGTAAGTGTGGGATGGTGCCCTCTCCTCCTCCCTCCCTCCCCTGCCCACCTTCCTCCTTTCCTTCCCCGCCCCCCTGCTCCGGTCGTACCTCCCCCGCTTGCCATCCTGGTTGAACTCATGGAAGTCGCAAGTCAAAGTCGCAAGTCAAAGTCGCAAGTCAAAGTCGCAAGTCAAAGTCGCAAGTCAAAGTCGCAAGTCAAAGTCGCGCCAAAGTCGCAAGTCAAAGTCGCGCCAAAGTCGCAAGTCAAAGTCGCGCCAAAGTCGCAAGTCAAAGTAGCAAGTCAAAGTCGCAAGTCAAAGTCGCGTCAAAGTCGCAAGTCAAACCCTGATCCGTACATCAATAATCCATCCAGACAACTCTGCTTTTCCCCAAGTAAACCCCCCTCTCCTGTCCCCTGGCGTACCTCTCCTCCCTCGCTCCTCTCCTCCTTGACAGGGCATCCTGCATGCAGCACTGCACAACGAGTATTGGCGGCTGATTGACCCACAGGGCAAGCCCCCGGGCGTCATGGGGTGGTGGCCGTCTCGAGCCGTCACGTTCCTTGAGAACCACGACACTGGCTCCACTCAGGTACCTGCGCCTCTTCCCTTGTGATAGGAAGGGTGTTTCCTCCATGGCAGAAGCATTTCCCTGGCACATGGTCTACGTTCTCTTATGCTCGTGCATGCTATCTTGTTGGAACCTGTTGTAATTCCCTGATGGCGACTCTGGGCGAAGGCCCTGACACATAATGTCGAAGAAATTCATATCTTTACCGAGTCTGTATCAATGTTTGTTCCTGTTTTATTCGGGTGAAACTTCTTACGAATACTGGGAAACACCTTTCACTTTTCCCCATTCTCCTCTCCCTACCTCGTATTCTGCCTGCAGGGCCACTGGCCCTTCCCACGTGAGAAGCTCCTGCAGGGATACGCCTACATCCTCTCCCATCCCGGCACGGTAAGCCACCTAAGAATAGCTTGAGACATTTCAAATGTGCACCTACGTCCTCTCCCATGTCGCCAGATTAGGCCAAGCCACCTGTTGATGCAAGTGCAAGCTCAGCCTCAGGTGTGCACGGCACCTATTTCGTCCGACATTAGTTTCATCAGACATAGACATTCTAGCTGATTTGCCATCAATGACTGTCCAATCCAAAGCCCAGCGCCACATTTGTCCCTGCATACACTCACATGTCATGGGGCACTTTCACCCATACCCACTTGTCTGGTTTCCCTGTTGCCTGTGCCCCCAATGCCCCTGCAGCCGGTTGTGTTTTACGATCACCTGTACGAGTTTGGCATCCATGATCAAATCGCCGAGCTGATCGCCGCCCGGAAGCACGCAGGTGTGCACTGCCGATCGCCAGTGAAGATTTTCCACGCAGTTGCGCAGGGGTATGTGGCGCAGGTCGGAGATAACCTGGTGGTCAAGCTCGGCCACTTTGACTGGAACCCGTCCCGCCAGAACGATCTGATGGGGCGGTGGGAGAAGCTTGTCGACAAGGGGAATGATTACATTCTCTGGGAGAAAACGGGTTCGTGAGCAGATGAATCAGGGCTTGGGTTCCGGAGGACAAGATGTGAAAGTATTGTAGCCTGAAGATGCTTGACGAAGCAACAAGTTTCTGTTCTTCAGTATGAATTAACAATCCATTGGGTATGACTATTTGTAGCTGTTAGGCCCTGCTGGGAATTTCTAATGTTGTGTATGACTAATGGGTTGAACATGCCACAACCATGTCATAATAGTCTGTCCTCTTGAATGTGGACTACCCTATCACGGGTTTGAAAGATGCACTTGATTGGATATCGTGTGGGACCAGCCGAGTCTCTTTCACCAATCCGTGTTTTCCAGCGCCATTTCGTGATTGTAATTGGCCCATGATTTCCACGTGGGGGCTGATGCAAGGAGAAGCTGTGGCGAGACACATGGCCAAACATGGGGCAACATCATAAACATGCAGATTACTCTGGTAACCCTATCCGATGGTATGCAAAACCGTCGATACCCTAGTTCTGCTGCGCAAGTTTGTCTGGTAGCGCCACTAAAAACACTGTGTAACAGCTGACGCAGCACAAAAAAGGAAGAAATCAATTTGTTTTCAATTTCGTATCTTCGTATTCCTTACCGCGCTCCCTTTGGCGCCTAACAAATATTCCTCCGGGCTACTATTTTCCGCTAAATGTGCACGATACATTTACGAAAAACTCATTGGAATAAATTTATACGGGGTCCATTTTGTAACAATTTATTGCACCCAATATATTGCTACCGGGAAGTGATAGGGCAGGGCTGGAAAAAATAAAACCCGTAGAAATCTGGACGCATTTCCCGGAGGGATCAACCCTAAACACGGGAAAGGACATTGTTTTTAGGGTTGATGCCTCCCTGACGCATCCCGTCCCCGATTGGGGTTTATTTTTTTCTTGGCTCGAAGAATTCACGTCTTAGTGCGAAGGCAAGCGTGGTAAGGATCAATGTTTGAACTAAAATTATAACATGTTACTAGGGAAGCATGTCAATAACTCTAAAACTGAGGTAAGACGGTTTTGCATACTATTGGATAGGGTTACCAGACTAATTTGCATGTCTATGATGTTGGCCCGCCAAACATCGCTGCCTGCTCTCTTCCACAAGCCCACACCAACCGACCATGTGCTTTCTTCATTTCTTCATTCCAGTGAAGTGGACACATCAACGAGCACGAAATTCATCGAGCAGTTAGCATGGCGTCTCCAGACATCACACTTCAGTTACCTCCCCTAATTCTAAAAGCTGGCTAGTGGGATTGGAGTTAATGCTTGCTGTCGACTGTAATTACTTGCCTGACTGATCGCGTCGCAGCAGATTTGAAGTTCCGACAACCAGCCTTGCTCATGGCGTAAGAATACACGATTGTCGAACTTAGTCGAACTTACCGTCTGTGTCTAAGGCAGGCTTCTTGTTTGCGAAACAGGTCACCTATTGGAAAGACAGAGAATGGTCGAGGTTCGTTACCAAACGAAAGCACCCCTTTGTTGCCAGCTAAGGCACAAGATATCCCAAGTCACGCCTCGCTTGACCAGAATGGAGAATTTGAAGGGATTTCTCATGGACATCCCGGAAGCACCCTGGGATCTGCCATATTCAACCTCTCCAACACCATTATTGGTGCCGGGATCATGGGACTTCCAGCGACCATAAAGGTTCTCACTGGCCTGTGACGAAATTCAGATCAGATTATAGTTTGGCCAGGCAATTTCAACAATTTAGCTGGTTGGCTGACTTTGTCAAACCCGTGAATGGCAGGTCCTGGGAATTCCTCTTGGTCTGACAGTGCTGGCCATAATGGGAGCGGTGAATGAATACTCACTCCAGCGGCTTCTCAGAAGCACAACTGCAGCTAAAGCGTGGTCCTTCGGCGATCTCATGGCTGCTACGTATGGAAGAGTTGGAAGATTTTTGCTCCGAACGAGCATCTTTGTCAATAACACAGGCATCCTCGTCATCTACCTTGTCATCATAGGTCCGCATCTTTTTCAAGTCAGAATTTCTTGTTAGTTGCTTATTCTCTCGTCATTATCCTTACAAATATATTGTCTCTTCGCCTTTCACTATCCCTTGGTCAGGGGATGTGCTGTCTGGTTCGGACGGCGCAGATGGAGAGCACTACTCAGGGTTACTCGAGGAGTGGGCTGGAGGTTCCACGTGGTGGAACAGCCGTCTCACTGTACTCCTCGCCTCAATTGTCGCTGTTATCGGGCCTCTTGTTGCCCTTCCTGACATAGGTTTGTCCAGTTTGACTCATCTCAGAGACACTCAGGAATCAGTAGGATCGTTGTTCTTGTTTGTGCAACTTACTATGCACCCCCCCAAATTGACCTGCAGACTCCCTCTGGTTCACATCAGGACTGTCAGTCCTGCTAGCAGTTGCTTTTGTCATCATCACCATCCTCATTACTTTGTACAAGCTAGTTGAAGGGACCATTGATTGGTCTGGAGTGCACTGGTTTCCTCAGCTGAACACATCGCAGGACTACTGGCACCTCCTCTCTGTCATCCCCACCATGGCTACGGCCTTCACATGCCACTACAACAGTGAGGGTCCCTCTTCAATGATTTTTTTTTTTTTTTTTTTTTTTTTTTTTTTTTTTTTTTTTTCGTTCTCATTCCAATTGGGTCTAACGTTTGTTGATCTCTCCTCTGCTCAGTGCATCCTATTCTGGTGGAGCTAAAGCCACCTCGAGAAGAGAAGATGCAGAATGCGATACAGAAAACATTTTTTGTTTGCACGAGTGTATACACCGTGACAGCTCTTTTTGGTTACCTCCTTTTCGGTGAAGCGACCTATGCTGACGTCCTTGCAAACTTCGACTCTGACCTTGGGATTCCTGGAAGCCGCTACTTGAATGACGTTGTCCGGCTATTTTATGCACTTCACCTGATGCTGGTATTCCCTGTGATTCACTTCTCGCTCCGTTCCACAGTTGGATTTGTGCTGTTTCCACATTCAGTACCTCTCAAGCATGATCTTTGTGGATATATCTTCACCACGGTTTTGCTGTTAGGGACCATTCTGGCAGCTTCTCTTTATGTCCCTGGGATTCAGTCAGCATTTGAGCTAGCAGGGTCAACAGGAGCAGCCACCATTGCTTTCTGTCTCCCTGGGATGGTGGCACTAAGGTATGTCTTGATGACTTCCACATTCCACACTGCTGCCATTCTGATTCTCTTTTGGCTGATGCAACATCTTCTGTTGTTGGTGCAGTGAGAGAACTGGGGGCTTGACAGCTCCAGCCACCCAAAGAGCTGCCGCATGGTTTTTGCTGCTCTTAGGACTCGGAGTGTGTTTTTCGGGCCTCGCCGACAGCGGTCATACGTTCTTACAATAGCGTCTTCCATTCTCCGAACAAAGATAAAGATTATCTCATGCCTGACTCTTTTGACAGATGCAATACAGTGACTCCACATTTTGATGACTCTGAAAGCACATCCACACAAAATCTCCTTCCCAATCCATCTGCTATGGGTAAAGATGAAGAGGCTGAACTTGAGTGCCAGCTGATCTGCTGATGACCAATTGCAGTGAGCAGAACAGCTGATGGCTTGGCACTGGCTAGCAACCAGGCACCACATGGCTTCAACGATCTGTGCACTGACCTGGTGCACATGAGTCAAAGATATAACCAGCAGATATAAGAGATGGTTAATGGACTATGGTGCAGTGGAATGAAGAAAAAAAAATGTGTTGGCAGGAATGCCTGTCTATCCAGGTAGCTTACCTGGCAAGGGATGTCACGCCATCGCTTCTCTCAGCTTCTGTCCAAAGCACAAGTTGAAGTGGCATGACCATTTGTTTCTCTGAAGGTGCCGCCTCCATGGGCTCACACAAAAGTGGTTGTAACTTGCACTCCTGGAACAAGAACGGCCAGCAGAACGGCTATGTAAGCATTGTACTTGACTTCCTGTTTGTCTGTTGTGCAGGGAACGGATGTACCAGAGTAGGTATCTGCTCGACATAGCTAAGGTACAACACTGGAGTACCGTTTACTCCCCGACTACCTACCTTAGAAGGTGGCTGGCACAGCAGAGCATCCACGGTTCCCTTGTCCACCACTATATCCACCACCCCTGTCAGCAACAAAAAGAAAACATGAAGCCCAGTCAGCAAAACGTCATACAGACATTCAGAACGGAGAGCACTGAATCGGCAGAAAAAACCTCGTTCATAAGCATCATTCCATACCCCGGAATGGCAGGCATCGTGCATCAGCAACCATGCGGTCAACTGGATGGGCGGCGAACTGAGGATGGGAGGCATGGAGTCGAGACATGGAGGCCATCACGCCAGCGTCCACGTCCGTGCTGATCACATGTAGGCCCCTCGCTGCCATGCGCATGCTCCACTCTGAATTGCCGCTGCCTATCTCCACTACCACCAGCGGTGCCACTGCTGTTGCTACCCTTGCCTCCGTCTCAACCTCTGCAGATCTGGATGCTGCGTCTGCTGTTGATGATGCTGCTGACACTGCTGGCACCGAAGATGACGCATCTATAAATAGCGGGTTTCCCTTTTGGCAAGTGTTGTCCAGCTCCTGTAATTCCCTCCCTTTCCTGACTTCTTTTGAACAGAGAGGCACGATGTGCGACTGCCAGAAGGACTCGAAGTCAACATCGTACCTGAGTATTTTCAAAAAGGGTTTGACAGGTTGATGGTTTTTGATGGGATGCGGATGTGAGACTGGACTTCAGGAAACCGCATGTGCTGCATGTCAGGCAAGACTAAAGTACTTCAGAATGTGTTGTACAGATAACAAATGTGTCGTACAGAAGAATCGCGTGGTGGTCGTTAAGAGAGAGGAAAAGAGGAACGATGAGTCAAGAGGATGGTAAGATCGGCAAGGCGTACCAGTCATAGAGGATGGTTTCCTCTCCCGCGTATCGCGTTCGCCAGTAGTGCGGTTGGGAATATTCAGTGTTGCGGGACGGACTGAAACGGGAATCGGTGAGTAAAGACGGAGCGACTCAGCAGAAATGCAGAAAGTTTGAAACGAGACGTGACGAAATGGGCAGAATGCGTGAATACTGAGAGGAAGAAGGAAGGACAATGATGAGGAACGATGACCCGCCAGGTACACACATTCGTCGGGTTATGACGTCCGAGTCGGTGTCAAAAAGCCGTTCAAGAAACCCCCCCGTGTCGTCAAGTGCAGGATTTTTTCCCACGTCTGCCATTGTGAGCTACCGCGACCAATCTCAGACTAAACCATGCGAACATGTACCGAATGGTGAGGATGACGGAGTCACTGCATATTGTAGCTTGGGGGTGTTGAGGGTGAACGAGAAGTGGACTCGATATGGAAAACGCATCGAGCAATTCAAGCTGTTGCACCTTGATGTTATTAACTTTGGTTACATATAACCCGCTTTATTTTCAGTTCGAGTCTTCACTATGCTTTCCCGAGGTTGGCTTGCAACGTGGCAGTTTTGTGTGGCCCCAATCCCTCCATCCCACATCCGTCGTTCCCTCTCCCTATTCGCACGCGATTGTCCACGCTTCTTGGAACCTTTCGCCAACCGTCTCAATTGTCACAGCGACTGTCGTAAGACCTCGAGCTCTCCAGTAACCACTACCCACCATCTACGTGCTCGATAGCTCCAGTTCTCAGCTGCTACTCGTGCAAACGAAGAGTCTCACAGGTCGCAAATCTTCGTCGAGATGAACCCTCAGCAGCAAGCCAGTAGGTGTTCGTCGCACCTATCTTTCCTTCTCCCCCACCCTTCCCACCCCAACCCTGTTCAACATCTCTTCGGTCTTTTGTATCTCCTCCTACCACTCCCGTTTCCTCTCTTCACTGCTGCTGTTGCGGCTGACTGGAGCTTGGCCATGTCTGATCTGATCCATGGTCACTTCACAGATGAAGGATTACACTAAACTTCACTTATCTTAGTGGCTGAAGGAAGCTACGTTATAAGGCGGCTGCGGATCTCATTCCTTATTTGGATGTTTGGGTTTCTTCGCTTCCAGTTCTGTAGGGTAGCACATGCGTTACGGGTGCTGGTGTGGTTGCAGAGGTGGTTCGAAAGCCCGTTTGTCATACGAGGGACAAGTAGGTCTTATAGGTAACACGTCGCCGCTCTCCGCCTCATCTCGAAGCTATCGAATACGGAGCTTATGCAAGTTCTTCCCTAATTAGCCGACTTCTTTTTTATTCCTGAACTCGGCGATTTTGTGCGACATTCGCGAAGTCGATTGACACCATGGTTGACGACAATGAAGTTCCCTCGTACGGAACGGGAACGATGTCAAACGGAATCTCATCCGCAGAAGGATCTCCAAGCTCAGATCGCGGAGGTTCGTCAGATTCCGTCGTCAGATGGCCAATAGCAGAAGCCCGCGTGGCTGATCTGATCTCCCAGATTCAACCCACAACAAGAGCAGAGGAAAGACGGCTGGCCGTTTCCGAATACGTCACGAGGCTTATCTCACGTTGCTTCGAGTGCCAGGTAGCTCTTCAGTCATTGTGATATTCTTTACTGTCACCAAACGCTGCAGATCAGTGTTAGGGTTATCTAATTCGGCCTTTCTTCCTCCGCGTAGGTGTTTATGTTCGGGTCAGTGCCTCTGAAGACTTATCTTCCGGACGGCGATATTGACTTAACCGCATTTTCCCGGGGTCCAACCGTGAAGGACGCGTGGGTCCACGACGTTCAAGCGATCCTGGAACGCGAAGAGCGGAACGCAGATGCTCTTTTCCAAGTGAAAGAAGTTCAATACATCCACGCGGAGGTACTTATTCCCACGACCTCTAGATGATATTACTGTTTACCAGCACACTGTTGAAAGGTTTTAGATACGATGAATTCCTTTCGTGTCTACGAAATATGTATGATTCAATTTGGGTGATTTTTTTTCCCTCGTGCTATTTCGCAGGTCAAGCTGATCAAGTGTCTCGTGCAGAACATTGTGGTTGATATCTCCTTCAACCAGCTAGGGGGCCTATGCACGCTCGGGTTTCTAGAAGAGGTGTATACCTAAGCCGTTCCCCTCGCACGCACATGCGATTTTCACAACGATTCTTTGTTGACAGAATGGGCCGGTACTTAGCAGCATTCCTCGTTGCGTGATGTCGGTTCAGGTGGACGCTCTGATTGGCCGGAACCACATTTTCAAGCGGAGCATTATCCTGGTGAAGGCCTGGTGTTACTACGAGAGTCGAATTCTTGGGGCCCACCACGGGCTCATCTCCACATACGGCCTGGAGACCCTCGTTCTGTACATTTTCCACGTGTTCCATAAGGAGCTGCACAGTCCGTTGCACGTAAGTCTTTTGAGTTTGAAGTGTTTTCCTGCTCTTTTTCCGTCACTTCCTTTCGTGTTCATTTGACCCTTTCCTGCAAATGGTAGTTTTTCTTTGTTCAGTGACATTTGAAAACATTTGTGTTTGATATTGTTGCAGGTGCTTGTCAAGTTTCTGGAGGTATTCAGCAAGTTTGACTGGGAGCAGTTTTGCCTCAGCCTCAAAGGCCCCGTTCCTCTCTCGTCTCTACCCACCATGCTCGGTACGTCCCTGTGCACTGCCCCGTCCTCTTCATCCTGCTCCGTTCTCTAAACAGGAAATCCTGCATACTTGTTATGGAAACCCTAATTCACTGAAATCTGCACACGTGCTGAAATTTCTCCAGTGGAGCCTTACACTGATTTCAATACTTCGATTCTTGCGTGCAGCTGAGAGGCCTGGTGGAGTAGAGGACCTGCTCCTCACAGACGAGTTTCTGGCAGAATGCTATGCCAAGTACTCACTGGCTCCCATGGTCCAGAAGCGGCCGTTCATGGTCAAGTTCCTGAACATCATTGACCCTCTCCTGGACAATAATAACCTCGGCCGCAGCGTCAGCAAAGGTATGCCTTGCTCATGCATACTTCTCCAGTTCGCCTCCCTTACGTTTGAGTTTGTCGCACACGCTACTCGCGTCCTTTTTCTATTCTTCTCTAGGATCAGTTTGCGTGCACAATGCTTGCAACACAATGTCGTGCGGGCATTCACAACCTCCTCAATCCGTCCATGTCTCCTCCTCGCGGCCCCCCTCGCCTCGTCCCTCCAGCCAACTTCTTCCGCATCAGGAGCGCACTGGCGTACGGCTCGCGCAAGCTGAACGCGGCGCTGAACGGCCCAGAGGAGCTGGTGGCTCTGGAGGTGGACCGGTTCTTCCGCAACACGTGGGTCCGCAACGCCTCTGGCTCGCGCCCAGACGGCTCCAACCACGAGTTCGTGCTCCAGCACATGCCCCGCCGCTTGCCGCTCTTCGCCCAGCCGATGCCGCCCCCGGTGCAACCCGGAGGCGTGGCACCCGCAGCTGCAGGCGCGGCATCAGGGGCAGGGGTAGGAGCAGGAGCAGTGGCAGGGGTGGGGACAGGTGTTTATGCTGTTAGGCCGGTCGTGAGTGTTGGTGGGGGGTACCGGGGGCAAGTGAACGCAGCAGCGGCTCATGAGAACAAGCCTCCGGGGGAGGGGGATGTTATGCGGGCGCCATACTCCCATGGGGGGCAGCATGGCGTGGTGATGAACGGAAACATGGCCGGGCATGTTCCTGGGAACGTGGCTGGAAACATGGGTGGGAATATGGGTGGGAACATGGGGAGGCGGCAGCAGGTGCAGGCGTCGGATGGGCCCCACCGGGTGCCATATGGGGGAGGTCATACCTGGATCCCTGCTCCTCTTTTCCCTGTGCCTGCTAATGTGGCGCATGTTCCCGGTGCAAGGGCTTCCCCTCCTATGGCTGGTGGTCCTAGACACGTGCAGCTGGCCCAGCAGCAGCAACAGCAGCAGCAACACCATCAGGCTCAGCAGCAACAGCAACAGCACCACCACCAACAGTCGCAGCAGCAACAGCAGCAGCGGCAATACCTACAGGCACACCATCAGCAGCAACAGCAGTCGCAACAGCAGCAACAGCAGGCGCAACAGCAGCAGCAGCAGTTGCAGCAGCAGGCGCAACAACAGCAGCCACAGCAACCACAGGGACATACAAAGAGAGCAGAGGCAGTCAACGGAGTGTATCCTGTCCCACCAGTGCGGCCCACTCCTGACCTAGCAGCAACCCTTCACAGAACAGTACAGGTGGATGATCATGCTGTGCAGGCAGGCACACACGAAGCCACTGTGAGACCGTCTGAGAATAGTGTCCGTCCCTTGGAGCAGGCCGTTCGTGCTGCTGAAAGTAAAGCTTCTGTGGAGCAAGACGCGTTGGTGAGTGAGCTTGTGGAGAGGAAGAAGGCGGGAAGTGTGGATGCACGCCCAAGGGAGGAGCAACGAAGCGGGAGTGAACGGAGTGGAGGAAACGAGAGGAACGAAGCGAGTGAAAGGAATGAAAGAATTGAAGGGAGTGAAAGCCAGGGCGCACAGCAGGGCGCACAGGGAGGGTTGGACGGAGCAGGGAGTGCAGGACCTGCTGTTAGCTCAGGGAAAGGCGAGAGGGAGGCAACAGCAAGGCAATCAGAGGCACCGGCACGAGGTCAAAAAGAAGAAGTTGGTTCCGGCTCACGCTCTGCCAAGGGAGCATCAAGAGGTGCAAGGAACAGCAGCAGTAGCAGCAGCAGCAGCAGCAACACATCATCCAACGTGCAATGGAGAAGGACGCAGTCGGGCTCACGAGTGGCAGTTGCTGGCAACAGCTCTAGTATTGGCACTGTTGTTGCTAGCACCCCTGTCACTAGCAACAGCAGCGCTGTTAGCAACAGTGGTTTGAATGCAGCCGCAGAAGCAGAGCCGGCACAGCAGGTGTCAGGCGGGATTGATGCTTCCTTGGTTGCTGGTGCCCTACAGAGACAGGGCTCGGATCAAAGCAGTGGGGGGAATCAAAGTGTGGGGAATCAGAGTGGGGGGTACCACAGCCGCAGCAACAGCATTCACAGCACTGGGTCGTCTAGCTCAGTGGAACCACCCCTGAACCAGGATGCAAGCACTTTGGACAGCAGAGGCACTACGAGTCCCCACGCTTCTATCAGCCAATCACCTGTAACAGCTCTAGGAGGAGCCGCAGCGGTAGGGGCAGGGGCAGCGGTTGCTGCAGGGCATACAGGTGTCCCTTCACGGAGTTTTTCTGATAGGGTTCCGGACAGGAACAAGAGCTGGCATGACACTCGACATGAAACCAGACAGGAACCCCGACATGTAACCCAGCGTGAAACGCGGGCTGACAGCCCCTCTGTTCCCCCTGCTGTCAGACCAGAGATCATTGCTGTGCCCCACGTTCCGGTTCCTCTTCCTATCCCTGTTCCTGTTCTCGTCCCTCGCACTGCCTCCTCCTCCCCAGTCATGTCCAGCACCAGTTCCCCCACACCCGACACCATTCTCACCACCATAGACGCCCGTTCCCAACCCGTACAACCCAGTGCGCCCCCTGCTCCGCTCGGTCCTCCTCTAGGCCCCCCAGCCAGCTCCTCCGCAGGTCCCTCACCACTCCCCCATGTCAGCCCGTTTCCGTTCCCGCCTGGGCTCCTCATAATGGCCTCTACCCCCAACGGCCCCTGCCTTGTCCCTCTCTCCGCCTTCCCAGGGGCGCTTCACCCGCGACTGCTACAGATGCCCATGCAGCAGCTGCAGGCGTTTGGCTCCCAGCCGTCTGATGAGAGCTTCTCCCAGCAGCTACAGCAGCAGCTGCAGCAGCAGATGCAGATGCAGCTGCAGACACAGCAGCAGCTACAGCCGAGACGAGATGGGGAAGCCAAGGCACCTGGTCCAGGTTCAGGCAACAACCCGCCGCACATCATGCCTGGATCCCAAACCAGGCTCCCTGTTTCAAACTCGGATGGTTCCGCGTCACTGCCTCCAGCCCCTCAGCTCTTTCCCTATATGGCTCTTCCCATGCCCCTGCCATCAGCAGCAGGCTTTCCACAGGTCCCTGGTCTTGTGCCCGTGCGACCGGGAGGGCTGGAAGGGGAGGGACCGTACAGGGGGTTGTTTGGTGTGAGTGACAGTGCGTCTTTCACAGATGGCTCCGAGGTTTCAGACGCAGCAGCAGGTGCTGCCGCTGTTGCTGCTGCTGCTGCTGCTGCTGCTGGTGCTGCTGCTGGTAGCGGTGGTGATGGTGGTAGGGGAGACTCAGGTGCTGCACCTGCTGCTGTGCCACCTCCTATGTTGTGGCAAAGGATGGACCAGCTGCAACAGGTGTCAGGCTCGAAGCTGCAGGAGCCAAGGCAAGCACCGGGAGAGATGATCGGATCAGCAGCAGGAGCAGCAGAGGGAGTGCAGGCCCCATTACCCGAGGGCGTCAAGTCAGTCACACCCCCTCCAGGGCACGTCCCGTTCATTCCCCTCATCCGACCTGCCTCCGGCGCCCCTCCCTTCGCCCAAATTCCCGGCATGGCCCCGTTCCTCCCGCAAATCCCCATCAGAGCGCTGCATCTCGCGCCCCCTTGGATGTTCCCCCCGCATGCCCATGCGCCCATGCAAGCCCAGGGCGCTGGCGTGGCAGCAGGTGATTGGTCGGATGGGCTGGCCAGGGCGGGTTCGCCTATGGGTGGTAACGCTCTGGGTCTGTCTGGGTCTGCAGCGGTGGGGGCGAGTGCTGATGGTGATGGGAGGGAGGTGGAGAAAACAGGAGCAGGGCTCGTGGCAGGACTGGGGGCAGGACTGGGGGCAGGAGCCAGGGCAGGTCCCAGGGCAGCAGCAGGGGCGCCCGTGGTGTTTGTAGGAGAGGGAAAGGCAGGTGTTGCCACTAGCAGCAGCAGTGGTGGCGATGCCAGTGGGTGGAGTGGTGGTGGGATTGCCGGGCCACAGCTGACCCCGTTGACCCCGTTGACCTCCACTGGTTCGCCTTTGGTGGGTTCGTCAGCCATGCCATTGGGCAGGGAATCTCCAGGGCAGTCACCTGCCCTGAATAGACCCTCCCCAGGCGTACCCGCCCCAAGTAGACCCTCCCCAGGTGCGCCCACCCCTCTGCTCCACCCGACGTCTGCCATTCCGTCATCCACGTTTGGCCCATCCAAACCAAGCACCGATCCCACAAAGCAGCAGCCATATGTCCCATCCACTTTCCCCACTGGGGTTCCAGGGTCCTCAGGGGTTCCAGGTGTTCAAGGGGGAGGTCCTGGTGCTAACCCAGGGGGCGTATTCCCCCTCCACCCCTTCTCCCGCCCGTTAGGCCCCCAAGCTGTCCTGCTGTCTCATCTAGGCGGTCCGCCTGGTGTCTTTCCCTCGTACGTCCTTGCTAATACTCCCGTCACGCAAGCAGGTGCACCTGGCGCACAGGGCGTAGGTGTCCCTGGTGCAACCCCAAGCGTTCCAACCACAGCAAGTGGCGCTGCTGCTGCTCCTGCCACTGGGATGCCTAGTGCTGCTGCGGCTGCTGCTGCTGCTCCTGCTGTCACTGCTCCCTCGCTCTCCGTGCTGGCTAATCCTGTGCCAGGGCAGGCTGCAGGAGGCAGTGAGGGAAGCAAGGCGGTGCAGGTGCTGCCCAACCCGCAGCTGCTGCAGCCAAGCACGTTCCCTCCTGGGGCGATACCAGGTGGAATCTCAGGTGGGCTCTCAGGTGGGCCATACTCCTTCATGCTCATGTATGCCCCCCAAGCTGGCATGCTCCCGGGCGGCAGTGTGCCAGGTGTAGGGGCGGCAGGGGCAGGCAGTGGAGGAGGAGGGTTGGGAGTAGCGGGGGTGGGAGGAGGGGCTGAAGGAGGAGAGGGAGGGACGGGAAGAGTAGCTGGTGGTGAGGGAGGAGGGCTAGGAGGGAAGGAGGAGGGGATGCTGAGCACGGGTGAAGTGAGTGTGGAGAGCAGAGAGGGGTGCGAGGCAGGTGGTCCTGCCGTTGCCGTTGCTGCTGCTGCTGCTGCTGCTGCTGCTGCTACTGTCCCTGCTGCTGTTACTCCCGCCACTGCAACAGCTGCTGCCGCTGTGGCTGCAGCTGGTGGTGGTGGTGGTGTGAAGGCAGGTGGGTTGGACAAGAGCAAGATCTTGCAGGCTCTGGCGGATGGCAGCGGTGGTGGGGAGTTCCGCATGCTCCGGGTGGCCAGTGCTGGCAGCATCGATACCTCCAAGCGAGCACCAGGCATCAGCACCAGCACCACTGGCACCAGCACCACTGGCAGTGGTACCACTGGTACCGGCAGCATTGCTACCAGCAGCACCGGCACCAGCGCCATCGCCACCAGCAGCAGTTTTGGGACAGCCGCGGTGGGCTTTGCGGGGCTTCCTAGGAGCAAACTGGCAGGCTCGCAGGGCGCCTCCGTTGGCCCCAACCTGACTTTTCCTCCCGAACCCACAGGTATCGTGCGGTCAGAATCCGCCCAAGAAACAGTGAGGCTTGCACCTCCTGTGCCCCCATCTTCCAGTGTATCGGCCTCTGCTGTTTCTCCTTCTGTCGTTGAAACATCAGCATCAGCATCAGCAGCTGGTGCCTGTGATACAGCTGCTCCCTATCCTCTCTCCTCATCCCCTTCCTCCTCCTCCTCCTCGATGCCCTCCTCATCCTCCCTCTCGGTGCGTGCACGGTCCAATCCCGTGGCCACAAGAGACCCCTCAGCCTCCACCGCCAGTGCTCCACGTGTGGTGCGAGGCAGGGGCGGCAGCGGCGGGGGGAGTGAGGGCGTATTAGCAGAGCCACGCAGGGGGGGCAGTGGAGTGGGGGGCGAAGGTGGGTTAGCAGAGGCACGGGCTGATGCTGCTGGGGAGGCTGGGTCTTGGGGCAGTGGGGAGGGGGCGCATAGGAGCACAGCGGACGGGGCACAACGAGGCCATGGGTCCACTGGAGGTGTAGTGAGAGGGGAGGTGCGGCAGTCAGGTGGAGGGAAGCAGCAACGAGGGGGCACAAGAGGAGAGGATGGACGAGGAGAAGGGAGTGGAAGGGGCGAGGGGAGCGGAAGAGGAGAAGGGAGTGGGAGAGGCGAGGGGAGTGGGAGAGAAGGGGGTGGAAGGGAAGGGAGTGGAAGAGGAGGAGAGAGAGGCGGGCAGCGAAGGGGAGAGGCCCAGGATATGGGGGAGCAGGCGGAGCAGCCGTCCTCAAAACTCCTCCAACAACAACAGCAGCAGCAGCAGCAGCCAGTGGGTCTCAAGGGAGCACTAGGGACGTCCCAACCACAGCAGGGTCAGGTTGTGGCAAAGCCAAAGCAGAGCCTTGGTGTGAAGCCCTCTGCTCCTAGAAAGGCTGGTGCAGCCACAGCAGCCTGTGCGGCTCCTGCTGTTGTTGCTGCTGCTCCTTCTCCTGCAACTCCTGCTGCCGCTGCTGGTTCTGATGGTGGTGCTCCTAGTTCAGTCACTTTCAACCTCAACACGATCTCTCCTGTGACTCCATTCGATGCACCTTTCATGGCACAGCAGGGTGCCGAGCCTGCCGAGCTGGACCGGCGAGTGCCCGAACCAGATGACGAGCCACTAGCCTCGGCAGAAACAGTGACCATCAGTTGGAGGTCGTCCTTACGGCCCGGGGAGGAAAGGCAGGCGGCAGGGAAAAGGGCACAGAGAACTTCCCAGCAGCAGATACAGCCCACGGGGTGGGGAGAACCGGAGGCGGCTGGTGAGGGTGGGGGTAGTGCGTTTGTGAGCAGTGCAGCACAGAGGGAGGAAGGAGGGTTCCCTGAGGCAGGACGCAGCAACAGCCCGTACTCCTTACAGCAGCAGCAACCTCAGCAGCCTATGCTGTCGCAGCAGCAACAACCCAGAACTCCTCGCAGCAACAGCCCCGCAGCTGCAGCTACAACCACAGCTGCTGCAGCATCAGCTACCACAGCATCAGCTTCAGGAGTGTCAGCAGCAGCAGGAGGGGAGGTGGCATCTAGGGAAGGCACAGCTCGAGAGGGTCCACAGCGAGTGCGCAGCCTGGGAGGGGCGTCCCGGTCAGAAGACAGGTTCTACAGCGCTCACCGAGGAGGACTTGGTAACCGCAAGGGCCTGGGCTTGACAGGAACTGCAGCTGCTGGTGCTGCTGCTGGTTCTGCTTCTGGTGGTTCTAGTGGTGGCAGTGATGGGGGCTCAGATGGGCTGGGGAGTTCTGGAGGGTCCATGGCACCTGGCGCACCAACAGCAGGGCCAGGAGTTTCTTCAGGTAGCTCAGGTGCCTCTGGTGTCTCAGGGCCTAAGAGTAGTTCCAGTGGAGGCAGCTCAGTGGTGAGTGCCAGGGAGAGAGGAGGGCTCAGCAGTACTGGGGGGAAGGCAGAGAGCAGGAGCAGCGCTGGCAAGGGAGCTGCAGGCTCAGCTTTGTCGCCTGCAGCGTCGGCGGTGCCACTGTCTCTGCGGTCGATGTCGCCTCGGGCGGGTGGGAAGGGGAGTGCGGGCGTAGGGGCGGGTCGGAGTGGGCAGAGTGGGAGCGGAAGTGGCTCCCCGGTGTTGAACTCTCCCAAAGCAGGGAAAAGAATAAGGTGATCCCTTCAGCATTCCACTCCACTCCATGCCTCTCCACTCCAACGCTCCCGATTCTCTCCACTCCTCTCCACTCCATTCCACTTCACTCCACCCCACTCCACTCCACTCCACTCTACCCCTCTCCACTCCTCTCCATACTTTACTCAAGTCCACAGCATGTCATTTCAAAGCTATGGTCTGCAATACATACCTTGTCCATGCGTCCTAAGTATTGTGCAAATTCTCTCCAAGCCCACACCAACACCGATCTTGAGCACCATTTTTTGTCTGCATCATTCTGCTGCGCGTTCACGTCTTGCATGCTGCAGAGGGGAAGACGCTCTATATGAACTCAAGGACGAGGATTTCCCCCCGTTGCACACTCCCAAGTGATTGCAAGGAACTTCCTCCCTAACATTATATTATTTTGGGTGAATCAGGAGTTACAGGCGCTTGGCTTCTCTAGACTGGTGCATAATTACCACGTTGCGTAGGAAAGGGAGTCTCTGATTTCCTCTTTTCATTGTTGTCTGGTAGGTTTTTTTTCTCTCTTAGCTAGTGATAGGTACATGTTGCGTATTAACATGCTAGATTGACAATCAAGTTGTCTCATCTCTGGCCATAATACTTGCAGCCCGCCTGTCTCCTTTGTCGGGTACAAATTTACACTACGGCTTGAGGAAGACACCGCGAGATTCAAGCAAAGTTGTTTTCCAGGTGCTGCCTCTAGATTCATTCACACTGCACTCTCGCGGGTGTGAAAAGCTCGTCGGCGAGCTTGAAACCTACTGCTCTCCTCGGTATTGCCGAGCTGGTCTACTTCGCGGTGCTCGTTTCCGTGTCGCTAGCATTTCCTCGCGGACGCATGTTACCGTTCGCCTCTCCAATCGCCAATGCGCGCTTTTCCGAGCCCGTCGTAGTGTTATTTTCTAGTACCAAATGCGGAACGAGAATACGCGTTACTAGCGATTCCGCCATGGAATGCGTTTCTTTAAGACGCGTCTCAGGACGCGCTATAACAGGTTGCGTTTGTAGCAGACCCGGCGGAACCAGGACCGTTAGTCCCTGGCCTCGCTCGCAGAGCCTCTCCGTTTCGCGGCCACGTGTCAGATCCGCCGCTTTTGGCGGCTGTTATTTATCCAACCAGGCTTTTCCGCGGTCAGGTTTTGCTACTGTCACGAGAGGTGCTGCTGCCGGTTGTGATAGTATCGATAGGAGGAGGAGCAGAGGATTTGGAGCTCCCGCTATAAGATTGGCTGGAAGAATCTCTACAGGAAGAAACGGATTCGGTGGCAGTAGCTCGTGTAGGAGTATTTGCACTAACAGCATCAGCATCCACAGCCGTAATTACGTCGGGAGCAGCATCAACAGCAGCAACAGCAGCAACAGCAGTGGCAGCAGCAACAGTAGCATCAGCAGCAACGGGATTTTGAGCAGAAACGGAAACGGACATGAAAACAGTAGCGAGTATAGTAGCAGCAGGAGTGGTTTTGGAAACAGAAGAAGCGGCTATAACAGGAGCGGCGGGAGCAGCAGTAGCAGCAGGAGCAGCAGGAGCAGCGGGAGGGGCGGAAGGGGCGGGACGCAATGGGAGGATAATTTCTGGGAGGAAATAGAGGCAGTGGGGCGGGAGAGGGATTCCGGGGAGGTGTGGGCGGAGATTGTGGCGCAGCTAGGGGGAAACGGGGAACGGGAGGCGGAGGCGGAGGCGGTGGTTGAGGGGGAAAGGGAGGGGACAGGCGAGGCGGAGTGGGAGAGGCGGGGGAAAGATTCGAGGGGAAAGAGGGAGGATGGGGTGAAATGGTGGGAGGGGAAGGTGGGGGGGAGAGTGCAGCCGGAGGCAGTGTTGGAGGAGCTACATATTAGGTGTGTGGTGTGGTAGTGAGTGGCTGAGTAGAGTGTGAGTGAGTTGGGTGTGATTGGGTGTGAGTGAGTGGCAGGGTGAGTGTTGGTCTTATTCGCTACTTTGAGTTGGCGTTAAATCAACATTTGCTAGTTAGCCACCTGATAGCCGGTTAGGATGGTGGTTGGGATGGTGGTTGGGATGGTGGTTGGGATGGTGGTTGGGATGGTGGTTGGGATGGTGGTTGGGATGGTGGTTGGGATGGTGGTTGGGATGGTGGTTGGGATGGTGGTTGGGATGGTGGTTGGGATGGTCGTGGGATGGTCATGGCTTTCCCTTCCTTCCTTGCACTCTCTTCTCCCTGTCGCCACTCACTCACTCACTCAATCACTCTCTCCTTGCCCCAGGGACTTCGCGCTGGTGGAGCACCAGGTGCTGCATTTCTCGCCTGCTTTCAACGTGTCGCATCCCCTGCCTTCCCTCTTTCCCTCACCCATGCTTGCCTCTCGCCCCCCTCTCTCTTTCCCAGGGACTTTGCGCTGGTGGAGCACCAGGCGCTGCATTTCTCGCCTGCTTTCAACGTGTCACATCCCCTGCCTTCCCTCTTTCCCTCACCCATGCTTGCCTCTCGCCCCCCTCTCTCTTTCCCAGGGACTTCGCTCTGGTGGAGCGCCAGGTGCTGCATTTCTCGCCTGCTTTCAACGTCATCACAGGCGACAGCGGGTCCGGCAAGTCAATCATCGTGCAGGCAATAGGGCAGGTGAGTGGGTGGGGGTATAGGGCAGGTGGGACTATACTATAGCAGCAGTAGCATCAGAGGGCGTTGTGTCATCACAGGCGACAGCGGGTCGGGCAAGTCAATCATCGTGCAGACAATAGGGCAGGTGGGGCTATAGCGAGGGTTTGACCTTGTTAGGACTTGGCTTTAGCAGCAGTAGCATCAGAGGGCGCCGTGTCATCACGGGTGACAGCGGGTCGGGCAAGTCAATCATCGTGCAGGCAATAGGGCAGGTGAGGCTATAGGGAGAATCTAGCCTTGTTAGAGAATTTTTAAAGGGCTTTTCCATAGGGTCAGCAGCATCAGAAGGCTCTGTGCTACCCCCAGCCCTCTCCTCCCCCCCTCATCCTTTCCACTCAAACTTTCCCTTTCCATTCTTTTCCCCTCTTTTCCTGCCCTCCTTTCTCAAATCAAGGTACTGGGAGCAGCAGCATCTGAGGACTCTGTACGATCTCCAGCCCTCTCCTCCTCTCTCTCCGCGCATCTCTCCCTCTCCCCCTCCGCCTCTCACTCCCTCCTGCAATTCCTCAGGCAGGAAGGTAGGCTAGATGTGGTGAAGGCCGTTACTGGGGGAGGTGGTTTAGCTGATGGTGCAGGTGATAAAAACGGAAAGCAGGAGGAGCGTGGTTCAGGGATGAGCAGTGCTGGTCGTGTGAGAATGAAGGTGATTCTAGAAAGGGAGATTTTCCGCTCTGTTGCTGCTGATGGTGATGCTTATAGCGAGTCTGAGGCTGATGGCAGCAGCAACAGAGGAGGAAGCAGCAGCAAGAGCGGAGGCAAGAGCGGGAGCAAGGGCAGGAGCACGAGTGGAAGCACGGGCAAGAAGAGCAGCAAGGCGCGGAGTGTGTGCCGGGTGAATGGGGTGGTGGTGCCTCTGAAGGTTCTGCGTGCTGTGGGTGCGACCCTGGTGGATTTGAACGGGCAGAATGCGCAGGGGGCACTTAGAAGCGAAGGCGCTCAGCTGATGCTGCTGGATAGATTCGCAAAGCGGTGGGGGGATGGGGAAGGGATGGGAAAGGGTGGAGGGAAGGGTATGGGGAAGGAGAGAGAGGGAGAGGGAAGGTTGAGGGAGGAGGAAGAGGAGGAAAGGAGGGAGGGAGAGGAGGCGGTGAAGGTATGGAGGGAGGGAGGGGAGGGGGGGTGGGGAGGAGAGAGTGGAGGTGGGAGTGCTGCTGGCGAAGGCTCAGCAGGTGTGGGAGGAGCAGAAGAGGCTGCAGGAGGCAGGGGGGGAGCAAGCGTTAATGGTGCTGCAGGAACTGGTTGAGGATGTGGAGAGACTGGGACTTAAGGAAGGTGAGGTGGAGGCGATACGGGAGGAGATCAGGGAGCATGAGCGGGCAGGCAGGGCAGCTGAGAGTTGCAGCCGTGCGCATGGGATGCTGGAGGGCTCTGGAGCGTTAGGCGTGCTGCATGGGTTGAGTAAGGCTGTGGAGGAGTTGAGAGAGGTGGAGGAGGAGGAGCAGGAGCAGGAAGAGCAGGAGGGGGAGGAGGATGAGGGGATTGGGAGGAAAGGGAGGAGGGGAGGGAGGGGGGGTGCAGGGGGGTATGTGCAGAGGGGGAGGTTGGAGGATGTTTCAGCTGCTTTGGAGCTGCTGGGGGAGGCTAAGATGCTGGTGAACAGAGCGGTGAGTGGTGGTAACAGAGCGGTGAGTGGTGGTAACAGAGAGGTGAGTGGTGTGAACAGAGTGGTGAGAGCTGAAGACAGAGCGGTAGTCTGTCCGTTCTTACCAGTTTCTTCCCTTCAATCTTCTTGCCGCAGACTTCTTACCACTGTTTCTTTCAATCCACTTGGACGGCTTTTGTTTATCTGTGCTGTGACGTGCAACCCCTTGCACTCCACTGCATTGCACCCCACCCCATGGCACTGCATCACACGACACCACACCACACCTTTCCACACCGCACTGCACCACACCAGAAGGATCACGTGGAGTGCTACTTGGACGACTTGCGGTTCTCACGGGAGCGCATGGACCGGCTCAAAAAGCGGTTGAGAGAGGTGATGAGCGGTGCAGAGTGATATGGTAGTACAGATTCTGGGAATGGGAAAGACCAGAGAGTATGAGCACATTGGGATTAGACTTGGATCCAATATGGTCTTGGTAGAGGAGGGTGTGTCGCACTAGCAGTATTCTTGGTGCGGGCCGGGGCTTGACAGGAACTGCTACTGCTGGTAGAGGAGGGTGTGTCGCACTAACAGGTGTCTCGTGTCGCACTAGGGTGTGTCGCACTAACAGGTGTCTCGTGCAATCTGCCCTTCTTCTTGACATGTAACAATCTTCTAATCGTCTCTTGCTGGCACTGCCCTTTGTTCTCGCTGGCACTGCCCTTTGTTCTTGCTGGCACTGCCCTTTGTTCTGACACACTTGTCTTGTCTGACTCCTCTCTCCTCTCTGCTCTCTGCCCTCTGGTATGCCCGTTGCTCTCTTCTCCCTACTCTGTGCTGCTTCCACCAAAACTGCACCGCACCGCACTGCACCGCACCAATGCCGCATGGTGGCTGGCAGATAGAAATTGTTCGCAAGCGCCACGCCATTCGATTGGCAGCAGAGCTCTGGTCGGCGGCCCAGACGGCGGCAGATCAGATCGCCAGCTCAGGTGCGACGATGACGATGACGATGGTGTTGGTGATGCTGATGCTGATGCTCATGCTGATGCTGATGCTTATGCTGATACTGATGCTTATGCTGATGCTTATGCTGATGCTGATGCTGATGGTGATGCTGATGCTTATGCTGATGCTTATGCTGATGCTTATGCTGATGCTGATGCTGATGCTGATGCTGATGCTTATGCCGATACTGATGCTTGTGCTGATGCTTATGCTGATGCTGATGCTTATGCTGATGCTGCTGCTGATGCTGATGCTGATGCTGATGCTAATGCTGATGCTTATGCTGATGCTTATGCTGATGCTGATGCTGATGCTTATGCTGATGCTTATGCTGATGCTGATGCTGATGCTGATGCTTATGCTTATGCTTATGCTTATGCTGATGCTTATGCTGATGCTTATGCTGTCACATAACATAAAGGTAAAAGCATTATGTTCTGTTACATGCTTGTGAGGTGTAGAGGGGTGTAGCTTGTAGTATTCAGTTTCAGCGAGGGTTGGTTGGGTTCTGGAGGGTGACGTGAAGTTGGTAGAATAGGGCACTGCTGGGTACAAAGGGGTTGGATTCAGAAAGCCTCGAGAGACAGGAAATCAGGATCGGCCAATCCAAGGCCCAGGCGACTCGAGCCCAATTCACTCGCCAAGAAATTGGCAACACGGGTGAGGGTGAATAAAGTAGCCTAGGGTAGCAATCGCATCCCTGTTCTCTCGTTTGTTTGCCTAAAATAGTGGATTTACGTTGCCGTTCTAACGCTACAGCAGCTAGGTGACTAGGCCACTAAGGGCAGCCATCGTGTGGGAGCCAGAATCTCTCACAAACGAGAGAACAGCTTTGGCGGTATGGACTGCCACGAGCTGCGTTGGCAGCAGATGGACTCGCGTCGGGAGTTTTCACCGTCGCGGAGGATGCGCTCATTGGAGCGCGGGAGATCGCGGATGCGTTCGCCACGGAGGACGGCGTACCGCGCGGATGGGGGCTCACCCATACGAGGGCGACGAGGAGGAAGCCAGGGCGATCCGCATGCGAAGGCGGAGCCCAGGCCTCGTCCGTCCGGAAGTGATCCTTGGAATCTGGCAGGTGGCCAGCAAGGAGCGGGAGAAGGGCGTCATGACGACGCGGATATGACGGACTCGCCGGAATGAGCAAGGAAGGCTGACGACGAGGGAGATTGCGAAGGTGTCACCACTGCGCGGGGCGGCGGGGAACAACGCCTAGGCAGGGAGGAGGCAGATCTGCAGAATCGAGGTGCAGAAGAGCGTAATAGCGACGCGGAAAAAGATCCTGCATTAGAGGGGATGTGTGAAGAAGGAAGAGTGAGGTGTCGAGGGAACACGGCAGCGGATTGCTCGCCGGACGACAGGCGCAAGGGAAGCGCGAGGCGCCGCGAGAGCGCGGATGCAGCTGGTGCGACGGACGAAACAGATGGGAGTGGCGAAAGGCTTCATGGCAGCGGGGATGCAGCTGGTGCGATGGACGAAAACGAAATGGGTGGGAATGGCACGAGGCGCCGCGGAGAAGAACAGGCGGATGCGAAAGAGGACGATCTGCAAAGCGATGGCAGAGATGGACGCGAAACACGCGGATGTGTAATGGAAGAAGATCGTTCGGCGAACGAGATGCGCGGGGGTGGCGCGCGGCGCCACGAGGACATGGCAGCAGATCGCGCGCGAGAAGAGATGCGCGAGGGAAGTGCGAGGCGCCGCGGGAGCATGAATGCAGATCGTTCTGCTGGCGAAATGCGCGGGGGTGCGAGGCGCCGCGGGGGTGCGGATGCAGCCGGTTCGACTGACGGAATGCGCGGGAATGACACGAGACGCTGCGGGAGCACGGATGCAGACAGTTCGGTGGGCGAAATGCCTGAGAATGGCGCAAGGCGCCGCGGGAGCACGGATACAGACAGTTCGGCGGGCGAAATGCCTGAGAATGGCGCAAGGCGCCGCGGGAGCGCGGATGCGGATCGCTCGCCAGGCAGGCTGCGCGGAAGTAACGCGAGGCGCGGTGAAGGCAAGGAGACTGAGCGCGCGCCAGGAGCCAGCCGTGAGGAAGAAAGGAGGCGGGACGTGCAGGCGGGAGTGTATAGCTCGCCTGAGCCAAGACGCGGACATGAGCGCAGGAGGCGCATGGCGCTGGGCGGATGGCGATCACCAGAGCAAGGGGGAGAAGGAAGTGAGCACGCCCACGAGAGAAGGCGCGCGCGGCGCTCGCGTGCACGGCAGCGGACGGAGGAGAGGGAAGCACGTGTTAACGGCAGTGTGTGTTGGTGGCAGTACATCACGGGTGCAGATGCGAGAACACACCGGAAAGGAGTAGACGAGTACCCATGCGCGGGAGCGGGGTTGGTGCAGGATCCTGTCGGAGAGGCAAGGGGGAGGCAGGAGAGAGAGATAAACAGGAGAAGGGGTGAGGAAGAGCGCTGCTGGCGAGAGGTGTCCCCAGGGAAGGACCCGGGAAGTGACAAAGGAAGAGGAAGAGAGGATCATGAGCGCCGAGGAGCAGGCGGACGAGGGAGACGTTGTGAAGGAGAGTCCCTTGAGAGGAAGGAGTGGAGGGAGAAGATGAGAAGGAGTGATGAGGAGCTGCGTGAAGAGAAGGAACATGAGTACAGTGAAGAAGAGGACTATGGGTATGATTAGGGATGAGCAAGGTGGCGAACACCTGTTCGGTTCGCCTCGAACGTGTTTGAGGCGAACCGAACAGGTAATTTTTTTTGGCTTAAAATGTTCGCCGAACAGTGTTCGATGTTCGCCCGAACACGTTCGTGTTCGGACCGCCGCTGCAATTTGCCCGTGACGAACACGAACACTGTTCGAGGTTCGCCCGAACACGCCTTCACAGGCGAACGGCGAACACCATTTTTTGCTCAAAGTGTTCGCCGAACCGAACAGTGTTCGGTTCGGCAAACGAAGGTGTTCGTGTAGGGGCGAACACGAACACGTTCGTGTTCGCCACTTGCTCATCCCTGGGTATGATCTGGAACGGCGCCGACGCGGGAAGCCGGAGTGGCGGGAGAAGAAGTCATGCCCTGAAGAAAGAGAGGGGTACAGGGGAAGGCGAGAAGGGCGAATGGAACCTGGAGCGGGGGTGAGGGAGAAGCAGGACCTGAGCGGACAGAGGAAGAGAGGTGACAAGCAGCACATGCGACGGGAGGGGATGCACAAGTATGAAACAGAGAGCGGGGAAGAGGAAGAGAGTGACAGGCGGGCACGCCATGGATCAAGACAAAGGAAGGAAAGCTGGGAAGAATATATCCCTGGAAGGAGAGAAGAGCTTAGGAGCAGGCAAGAAGAACGGAGAGAGTTTCGTGAGAGAGAGGACCAGCAGCAGCGGGAAAGGAGGAAGCGAGAAGGGCGATTCCAGGATTATTCGCCTGAGAGGAGAGAAAGGCGATGGGGGGAAGCAGGCGGGCGAAGAGAGGCTCACGAGGAGGAGCAGAGAAGGAGTCCGAGTCCGAGGGGCCCCAGGAGGCCACGGCAGACAGGAGAAGGATCTAGCGAAGCCAGAGGTGCTAGAGAAGGGATAGACAGGGTGCTGTGTGGGACAAGCACAGGCAGCAGGGGAATGAGGGAGCACAGAGGAGAAGTTAGCCGCGCGGAGCGAGGAGCAACGGGAACCTGGGACTCAGGGAGATGGGGCATGCAGGTGCCACCACAAGTAGAGGTGCCAGTGCGTTTCACGGGGAATGGAGGGACAAGCACTAATCTAAAGAATTATCTGATGCAGATTGGGAATGTCAAGTACAGGTGCGATCGGAGTGGGATGGACCCCCTCGACTTCTTTTTGAGTTTGCCGAACACTTTGGGTGGGGAAGCAGAAACATTGTATCGCATGAAGATGCATGAGTGGCTGAGGAGGGCAGAGGAGGATGGGGACGACCCTACGTCACTGTTCCTGGAGCGGCTGCGCAAGCAATTCCCAGGACACACGGCAGCGCGAATCAGGGAGTTTCAGGACTTCAAACGCAGGAAGGATGAGTCGTTGCTGACGTATTATGGGCGGCTCATGAACCTGGCCGAGGATGTGGTGTGTACCGACAGCAGCATGCTGATTAGTAAATTCCTGGCAGGATTGGACGACGGGCTGGCCGGAGGACTGAAAATGAGAGTATACGAGCTGGAGGCAGAAGCAAGCCTGGAGGAAGTGTTTGAGCTAACAGAAAAGGTGGAGCTGGCACAGAGGCGTTATGAGGCATACCTGCCAACAGTGGCTGAGAAGATGCGACCCACCTGGGCGGCAGCAATGATACCGGGGGTGGGAGGCGGAGAGGAGCAGCAATATGAGAGAAGGACAGACACGAAGACCTGCTACAGGTGTGGACAGCCAGGACATGTAAGATTGAATTGCAAGAACTGCGACGTGTGTGGGAAACCAGGGCACCGCCGTCAGAACTGCCCTGACGTGCCAACCTGTGAAGTGTGTGGGAAGAGGGGGCATCAGCAGAAGGACTGCTATCAGAGGACTGGGGGAGCAAGGAGGTCACAAGAGGAGATAGAAACACAGATAGGAAGGCTGCGGGCTCAGCTGCAGGCTTTGGGAGGCAAGAAGGAGAAAGAACCAGGAGTGTACGCGAGGGAAGAGGAAGAGGAGGAAGAGGAGCATGAGCCAGAGCACTCCTGTGCGGTGCTGCGTCGCCATGAAAACCTGGGGTGGAGCAGTGGGGGCAGGGACAGACGAAGGAAGCAAGTGAGTAAGGTGGGGGCATGGGTGTGTGTGCAAGTAACACCAGAAACGGAAGAAAAGGACAAGAAGGTGGGGGCATGGGCGGATGAACCGGTAGCGGTAGGCGCGGAAGGGAAGGACGAGAAGGTGGGGGCATGGGCAGCAGCAGAAGGGGAGGAGAAGGACGAGAAGGAGGGGGCAGGGGCGTGTGAACTGGTAGCAGCCGGTGCGGAAGAAAAGGACGAGCAGGTGGGGGCATGGGAGTGTGCACCAGCAGCAGCAGAAGCAGAGGAGAAGGACGAGCAAGTGGGGGCATGGGTGTGTGCACCAGCAGCAGCAGAAGCAGAGGAGAAGGACGAGCAAGTGGGGGCAGGAGCGTGTGTAACAGCAGCAGCGGAAGCAGAAGAAAAGGACGAGAAGGTGGGGGCGGGTGTGTGTGTAACAGCAGCAGCGAAGGCAGAGGAAAAGGAAGAGCAGGTGGGGGCGGGAGCGTGTGTACCTGCAGTAGCAGAGGCAGAACGGAAGGACGAGAAGGTGGGGGCACGACCGTGTGTACTAAAGGCAGAGAAGCAAGTGCAGGGAAGTATGAGGGCGGAGCAGCATGTGAGGAAGCTGAGGGAAGAACGTCCGGAGCTGCTGGGGGAGAAAATGGTAAAAGAAGCCGTGAGAGGAGCTGAGACGGGTGTGAGGAGCATAAAAGTAGGGATGGCGTGCGACTGGGGGACAGGAGACCTACGGGTAGGAGGATGGGAAGGTCCAGTGTGGGACAAAGCCCAGGAGCAAGAGGAAGCAGAGAGGGAGAGCAAGGAAGTGGGGGCATGGGAGTGCCTGCCTGTGGGGGAAGAAAGGCAGCATACAATGGAAAATGCGACGAGTCAGGAAGCAGAAGAGGCCGTGAAGACGGTAAGGTGGATTAAGGGAGGAACATGGGCAGATGAGCCGATGCGGCTAGCATCCCAGGTGCTGTCAGAATCCAGGGGAATGGAAGAGGCTGAGAAGTGGGCGGCCTGGGAGGGAGGCAAGGCAGTAGGACACCTGAAGGAAGTGATACTGGCATTGGTGGAGGACCTACATGTGGTGCAGATGGGGGATGCGTGCAGCTATGAACAGCGGCAGCAGCTGGGTGGCAGGGGGACAGAAGAGGCTGTAGGGGCAGGGCGGACAGAGACGGACAAAGGAGGACAACAGAAGAGGGGGCGGGTGCAAGCGGGGCGAAGTGTGGGAGTACTGGAGCTGGAGAAGACGAAGAGAGAGCTGACCGTGGCAGGAACCAGACCCACAAGGCACGGATGAAGAGCAGCCGTCCTCAGCTGGGAAGTCCTGTGTCTCGGGCCGAGCGGCTTGAGCACGAGCACAGGAGGGGGCAGGTAGTGGCTGAGTACGAAGAAGGGAACCAGGGGACAGGGACAAGATAGATGCAAGGGTGAGAAGGAGAAAGCAGCAGGAGTACAAGGACAGAAGCAGGTAACGCAAGAGGGGTTTCTCCGACAGCTGTCACAGAACATAAAGGTAAAAGCATTATGTTCTGTTACATGCTTGTGAGGTGTAGAGGGGTGTAGCTTGTAGTATTCAGTTTCAGCGAGGGTTGGTTGGGTTCTGGAGGGTGACGTGAAGTTGGTAGAATAGGGCACTGCTGGGTACAAAGGGGTTGGATTCAGAAAGCCTCGAGAGACAGGAAATCAGGATCGGCCAATCCAAGGCCCAGGCGACTCGAGCCCAATTCACTCGCCAAGAAATTGGCAACACGGGTGAGGGTGAATAAAGTAGCCTAGGGTAGCAATCGCATCCCTGTTCTCTCGTTTGTTTGCCTAAAATAGTGGATTTACGTTGCCGTTCTAACGCTACAGCAGCTAGGTGACTAGGCCACTAAGGGCAGCCATCGTGTGGGAGCCAGAATCTCTCTTGGTAGTGGCTGAGTACGAAGAAGGGAACCAGGGGACAGGGACAAGATAGATGCAAGGGTGAGAAGGAGAAAGCAGCAGGAGTACAAGGACACAAGCAGGTAACGCAAGAGGGGTTTCTCCGACAATGCTGATGCTCATGCTGATGCTGATGCTCATGCTGATGCTGATGCTGATGCTTATGCTGATACTGATGCTTGTGCTGATGCTTATGCTGATGCTTATGCTGATGCTGATGCTGATGCTGATGCTTATGCTGATGCTTATGCTGATGCTGATGCTGATGCTGATGCTTATGCTTATGCTGATGCTGATGCTGATGCTTATGCTTATGCTGATGCTGATGCTGATGCGGATGTTGGAAATGGTTCAGTCAGGTGCGATGCTGCTGGTGGCCAACCGCCCAGACAGCGGAAGATCAGATCGCCAGCTCAGGCGCTGATGGTGGTGATGTTGATGGTGGTGATGGTGGTGATGCTGATGGTGGTGATGCTGATGGTGGTGATGGTGGTGATGGTGGTGATGCTGATGGTGGTGATGCTGATGGTGGTGATGCTGATGGTGGTGATGCTGATGGTGGTGATGCTGATGGTGTTGATGTTGGTTTTGCTGTTCTGCTGCTAGTGCTTTTGATGGCGATTGTTTCGTTTGTGCCTCATGCTCGATACCTCATACCCCATTCCCTGTCTGTAACATGCCCCATTCCCCATAACATGCCCCATTCCCATGTCCCATGCATCAATCCCCATTTCATGACTCATGACCCTCGTTCCATGCCCCATGGTCCATGCCCCATGGTCCATGCCCCATGTTCCATGACCCATGTTCCATGCCCCATGTTCCATGCCCCATGTTCCATGCCCCATGTTCCATGCCCCATGTTCCATGCCCCATGGTCCATGCCCCATGGTCCATGCCCCATGCCCCATTTCTCCTTGCTTCCTCATCGCTTTAAATCCCACCTTCGCCCTCTCACTCCAAACTAAACCGCCCCCTTCATCCCCTTTTCCTGAACCCCCTTCCCCGTGTGTCCTCTTCCTCATCCCCCCTGCCCTCGTCCTCATCCCCCCTGCCTCCCCCCCCCCCCAATTTTCCTACCTCCCGCCCTTGCAAAATCACAACAGGGAGTGTGGAGAAGAGGCGAAGGGAGCTACAAGACGAAATGAACCACCTCGCTGCGGATATCGGGCGGCACTTTTTGGCAGCTAGCAGGAGGAGGCGGGTGGCAGCAGAGGACCTGGGGGAGAGAGTGGAGGGCGTGCTGAGAGGGCTGGAGATGGGTGCCGCGCGGTTCAGAGCGGTCGTGTCATGGGTAAGAAGGGGATGGGTTTGGTTTGGGGGGGATGATGGCAAGGGGTTGATGGCAGATGATTGGAAAAGGGTGAGCGAATGCTGGTATAGTGCCCAAGTTAATAATAGGTGGGTGCCTCATGGTTCAGAGCGGTGGTCATGTGGGTAAGCTGCACATGAGTCGATTCTGCATTGGGTATCTGACCTTCCTAAATCACCCCCTCCGTTCGTCTCCCCTTTCTGCCCCGCTCGCTTCTCCGCTGCTCTCCTTCTCTTCCCCCTCTGCTCTTTCATCCTTTCTCCCTGGCTGGCTCCCATCTCCTCCACCCCTTCATCCTTTCTCCCTGGCTGGCTCCCATCTCCTCCACCCCTTCATCCTTTCTCCCTGGCTGGCTCCCATCTCCTCCACCCCTTCATCCTTTCTCCCTGGCTCCCATCTCCTCCACCCCTTCATCCTTTCTCCCTGGCTGGCTCCCATCTCCTCCACCCCTTCATCCTTTCTCCCTGGCTGGCTCCCATCTCCTCCACCCCTTCATCCTTTCTCCCTGGCTGGCTCCCATCTCCTCCACCCCTTCATCCTTTCTCCCTGGCTGGCTCCTATCTCCTCCACCCCTTCATCCTTTCTCCCTGGCTGGCTCCCATCTCCTCCACCCCTTCGTTCTTTCAGACTCCTCTCTCCCCATTCCGTCTCGACTCCTCCTTCCCCTCTCCTCCCCTCCCTTCCCATCCCATCCCATCCGCGCCCCTCCGCTCCCCTCCCCTCCCTGTCCCCCGCTCCCCCCCCCTCGTTTGCAGGAGCCAGCAGCCCCCCACTTCTACAGTGCCACGTCAGCTCCTCTCAGCCAATCACAGCTCAGCATGCAAGAGAGAAGAAGGGGTGGTGGAGGAGAGGGAGTGAGGGCGAGGAGGGTAGCGGGGAGTGGCGGCTGGGGAAGGGAGGTAGAATCAGAGTGGGAAGAGGAAGGGGAAGGCGATGAGGAAGAGGAAAGGGAGGAAGAAGAGGAGGAAGACGATGAGGAGGAGGAGGAGGGGGAAGAGGAGGAGGAAAGCGGGCAGCAGAGGCAGCATGGGACAGAGATTTTGGTGGAGGAGAGATTGATACGAGCGGAGGGGGCTGAGAGTGTGGGCGAGAGGAGCGACGTGTTCTATCGATACAGCAGCACTGGCATGGATAGGGTGGGTGGCATGAGCACGAGGGTGGGTGGCATGAGCGTGAGCCATTTGTTCGATACTTCACATGCTGGAACGTTTATAAATCAATGCCAGTGCTCACGCTCCAATGCAGGTGGTGTTTCAACTGTCAGCCAATCCGGGAGAGCCTCTGCTGCCGCTCTCCCAAGTGGCGTCGGGTGGCGAGTGCTCCCGAATCATGCTTGGTGGGGTAGTGTGGGGTGGGGTGGGGTGGGGTGGGGTGGGGTGGGGTGGGGTGGGGAGGGTGGGGTGGGATGGGATGGGCTAGCTGAGGGATCGTGCTGGGTGGATTGGATTGGACTGGCCTGAAGTGAGGTTGGGCTGAGGTGCTGTGCCTGGTCATGTTGAGCTAATAGGGCTAAAGTCTGCATGAAAGTAGTCGAGTTTTGAGACGTCTCAAAACTGTGCCGCAGTAATGCTTGCAGTTGAGAGGACATTGGTGAATGCCCCTCCCGACTCTTCCATTCTTCCTTGTTCGCTTCCCTCCGTTTCTCCCTTCCCCATTTCTCCAGCACTCAAGATCATTGCAGCTACCACAAGCACCAGCACCACTGCAGATACCGCCTCCACCAGCAGCACCACCACAGATACCGCCTCCACCAGTCCCACCTCCCCATCATCTTTGGAAACAAGCACAAGCAGCAGCAATGAACTCCCAGCAGCCAATGGGAGCGTGCCAGGTGTCAGCGTGTCGGTGTTTGATGAGCTGGACAGTGGTGTGGGCGGCAGGATCGCTTCCCGATTCGCCCTCGCCCTGCGACACCTGTGCAGACAGGGTAACCAGGTTAGTACACCTGCGCATACAGGGTAACCAGGTTGGTACACACCAACTCATAGGTAGCTAGGTGAGGTTCCTTATAACCGTGGGTAACCAGGTAGTAAGCTTTTGAATTGTGCTTGACCGAGAGGGTGTTGAGACGTCTCAAAACCCTTCTTCAAACACGTTGACCGAGAGGTTGCATTTGAATACAGGTGAAACTACGTGGGTTTACCTAAGAGTTTACCTAAGAATTTACCAGGTGTAGCCTTCCCTGCAAGACATTTCCTGCTAATACACTCCCTGCCCCCAGGTGATATGTATCACCCACCTGCTGCAGGTGGCCGTGCGTGCAGACACACACATCAGTGTGTGAACGCTCTGGTGCTTCCAGCTGATCCCATACCCCACTTGACACACCCCACACGCCACATCACGATGCATCCCCCTTTCCTCCAGGTCATATGTATCACCCACCTGCCCCAGGTGGCATGGCAGTACACGCAGACGCGCACATCAGTGTGAGCAAGCATGTGGACAGGGCCGATGGTCGCATGCGCACCACTGCTGTACCATTCACCCCCCTTCATTCTCCCTGCCCCCACACCCCCTTCCCTCCAGGTCATGTGCATCGCCCATCTGCCCCACGCAGACACGCACATCAGTGTGAGCGCAGGGGGGAAGAAGGGAAAGGACAAGGTGCAAGCAGATTAATGGGTTTGATGGGCGCATGCACCTTGTCCTTTCCCTTCTTCCCTCCTGCCTCCCCACCCCCCTGCCACACCCCCCTGCCACACCCCCCTGCCCCCAGGTCATTTGCATCACCCACCTGCCGCAGGTGGCAGTGTATGCGGACGCACACATCGTTGTGAGCAAGCACATGGATGGGGTTGATGGGCGCATGCGCACCACTGCTGCACCACTCCTCCCCCTCCATTCTCCCTGCCCCACACCCCCTTTCCCACAGGTGATCTGCATCACCCACCTGCCGCAGGTGGCAGTGCATGCCGACGCGCACATCAGCGTGAGCAAGCAGATTGGCGGGGCAGATGGTCGCATGCGCACCACTGCTGCCCGCCTCACGAGCCTGGAGGAACGGGTGAGGCTGGGGAGAGGCACGGGTGAGGCTCGGAGGGAGGAACGGGTGAGGCTGGGGAGAGGCACGGGTGAGGCTCGGAGGGAGGAACGGGTGAGGCTGGGGGGAGGCACGGGTGAGGGTGTAGAAGACAGGGCATGGGGAGTCTGGTGCTTCGTGGCAGAGGCAAGGTTTGGCTAGGTGAGAGTGGAGGGTACGGGGGCGAGGCGATGGTCGAATCGTATGCGCACATTTTTTAGTCGACTCGAAAATAGGCCTATATACGAGTAGAGAGGCCAATCGGCAAGGTTAGACTAGGTGAGAGTGGAGAGGACGCGGGCGACGGTCCAATCACATGCGCACCACAGCTGTCCGCCTCACAACCCTGGAGGAGCAGGTGAGGCTGGGAGGGGTGTGTGGAAGACAGGGAAGGGGACCTTTGTTGTCCAGTGCATAGGGAGAAATATGGGAGTGCGCACTCTTTCCCCCTCTTTATCCCTCTTTCTCTCCTTCCCTCCCCCCCCCACCCCTTTTCAGGCCTCGGAGGTGGCTCAGATGCTAGGGCTGGGCCTGCCCTCAGCCCTGGAGCTGTTTAAAGCAAAGGGAGGCATGGAGAGAGCAGTGAACACAGTGAACACAGAGCGGCACTTGAAGGCTGTCCAGAGGGATGCTTGATTGGTTAGCAGTGCTCGCCTCTGCGGGGCCTGGGTGGGCCTGGGTGGGCCTGGGTGGGTCTGGGTGGGCTTGCGTGTGGCTTGGGTGGGCCTGGGTGGGCCTGGGTGGGCTTGGGTGGGCTTGGGTGGGCTTGGGTGGGCTTGGGTGGGCTTGGGTGGGCTTGGGTGGGCTTGGGTGGGCCTGGGTGGGCCTGCCATCAGCTCTGGAGCTGTTCAGTGCAGAGGGATGCATGGAGGAACCGATGAATAAGGAAGGAGCAGTGAGAACGGATGGAGCAGTGAACGAGGAGCAGCACTTGAAGGCTGTCCAAAGGGATACTATATCTCCATGTTGTTGCCATCACAGTAATATTCAAGAGTAATACCCGTCCCTAACTGAGGATTTGGAGCCACCATACATGAGTGTTTCTATCAATCTTGTGGGCTGATTATCGGGCTCGATGGAGCATGAGCTCGACCCGTTTAGGGTCACCTATTGCTAGCTTGTGGCAGACATGTTTCAGAAATAAAAACAAGTTATCTGCCAAAAGCTTCTGTACAGAGTGGTGACGCCAGTAAACCTGAAATATTGCAACATTATAAAACCTGCAATATTCAGGAGCAACCCGGGTTTGAACCGGGGACCTATCGATCTGCAGTCGATTGCTCTACCACTGAGCTATTGCTCCGTATGAGATATTTGAAGTTGCAGATATTAAAAACTTATTATTTTTCATGAGAATCATCGGTCATGTTCCCCATGTTCGGTCCACGTGAGCAAATCTAATCGTTCAGTTCGCAAGGATTACGGTTTCTGCCCGTACACTTGTTGTAAGTTTAGTGTTGGACCATTCCACCCGCTCTCACATAAATGCTACTTGAGCTTCTGAAATGGTGCTGGAAACCCACAAGGAATTGGTTTCTCTGCCCAGACATCGTTGAATATCTGGAATTGATTTCGTCCCGACTTGAGCCTTCCCGCACCGAATCCTCCGTCCTCAGGCGTGCTGGATTTCGTCGCCGTTGGCCTTACCTTACTCATTGACAATGGTTGCACCCCACCATGTCCAGCCCGTTGAAACGTACTAAACCTAGGCAAACCGCATAGGTTACTTGGACCCCTTCTTTGAGATCCTAGATTTTCCGGTGAGGCGAGGGACCATCCGCTCCCTCCCTCTCTTACATTCACTCATCTGCCGAGAAATGCAAGCTCGAGAGAACCAAAATTTTGCTCTGCGGATATGTCCCGGACTATAGAGCAGCCAAATCTTGGATGGCCTATCCGATACGATTTGAACGGTGGCAGCCACAACAGCAAACCGTTTGTCTCATCTTCAGAGCAAAGTGACCGAACCAAAGCCAACGAACAGTTTTGGGTAAGTAACTTTGGAAGGGCTTACACTAGCGACCCTGTGCTCCGAGGGGGCCTACAGTGCAAGTAGAGGGCACTTTCCACCCCTCCGTGCCTCAGACAGGGAAGTTATAGAAACAGGACAGGGCAAATCCCCACATTCACCCACGTGTCAACAATTTCTATGCCACCTACTGTACTGGACATCTGACCACCTGTGCACAACAGATTTTTGTCCCCACTGCAGAATCGAATCCACAAACTGGGTGGCTCGGCTGCCACACTGTTCCGAAATCCGCTAGGCTACTGTTTCGCGCCCAGATTTTCGGAACGGCCATCAAGGCAGACGGAAACGAAAACGGAGTAGCTCTCCGTCAAATCTTTCGAGTGACTTTTCCCGTCAGGGGTTTCTGTCACACATAACAGAGTCGCGATTTTGTACATGGGCGATACAACAACACATATCACAGCTGATAAATTTATGTTTCATATTCAGAAATATGAATATTGAAATATGAGTTTAGGGTCTCGCAATTAGTTTAGGGTACTCAATCTTCTTAATGCACGAATGAAGCATATGGCAGTACAATTCAGACTTCGAAATCGTAATTTCAAATGTCAACCAACTTGATATGCATACTACAGTTTGTGGAGGAAGCGATGTGATTTGCGCTGAAACACACACACACACACACACACACACACACACACACACACACTTACACACACACACACACATACACACCCACATACACACATACACACACACACACACACACACACACACACACACACACACACACACACACACACACACACACACACACACACACACACACACACACACACACACACACACACACACACACACACACACACACACACACACACACACACACACACACACACACACACACACACACACACACACACACACACACACACACACACACACACACACACACACACACACACACACACACACACACACACACACACACACACACACACACACACACACACACACACACACACACACACACACACACACACACACACACACACACACACACACACACACACACACACACACACACACACACACACACACACACACACACACACACACACACACACACACACACACACACACACACACACACACACACACACACACACACACACACACACACACACACACACACACACACACACACACACACACACACACACACACACACACACACACACACACACACACACACACACACACACACACACACACACACACACACACACACACACACACACACACACACACACACACACACACACACACACACACACACACACACACACACACACACACACACACATATTTCAATATTCATATTTCTGAATATGAAACATAAATTTATCAGCTGTGATATGTGTTGTTGTATCGCCCATGTACAAAATCGCGACTCTGTTATGTGTGACAGAAACCCCTGACGGGAAAAGTCACTCGAAAGATTTGACGGAGAGCTACTCCGTTTTCGTTTCCGTCTGCCTTGATGGCCGTTCCGAAAATCTGGGCGCGAAACAGTAGCCTAGCGGATTTCGGAACAGTGTGGCAGCCGAGCCACCCAGTTTGTGGATTCGATTCTGCAGTGGGGACAAAAATCTGTTGTGCACAGGTGGTCAGATGTCCAGTACAGTAGGTGGCATGGAAATTGTTGACACGTGGGTGAATGTGGGGATTTGCCCTGTCCTGTTTCTATAACTTCCCTGTCTGAGGCACGGAGGGGTGGAAAGTGCCCTCTACTTGCACTGTAGGCCCCCTCGGAGCACAGGGTCGCTAGTGTAAGCCCTTCCAAAGTTACTTACCCAACAGTTTTCTCTTCTCCCAATCACCTCACTCACCTCACCACCACCCACAAATGCATTTTCAGCATGACTCGCAGGCTGTTTTGCCTGTGCCAGCCCCAGTGTACCCCATTGTTCGCCAGTGTGTCTGTTCATTTTGATGAGATTTGCGTCCGCCGCAGCAGATACATAACGTCTGCGATGCCATATCTGTGTTTTTCCACCGGACCTGGGTTACATACAGACGTACCCGTCTCCACTCTTCCTAGCATATCTGCCCAAATCTACTCGATGCACACACCAAGCAGCCTGCTTTCATCTTCCTCCTCAACAATCCTTGGTTGAATACAGAATCGTACTGTCATCACAATCGTCCTCGTTTCACGATCCGTTACAAGATCGGATACAGCATTGATCCGTCCGATCGTCCAGCTTGGCTGGGAAGGGAAAGGTCGTCCAGCCTGGCTGGGAGGAAGGGAACGGTCGGCTAAGTGCATGAAATCGCCGTCTAAGAACTGTATCAACTGACATAGAATCGCCGGATTGAAAATCTGTTGCGTCAATTCAGTTTGCCCTCATAGGGACGATCACAATCTGGCCGTCCCGAAATTACTCCTCCCGGTGGGACGAGCAAGTCCTCCGAGATTGCGAAACCCTTCCTTCACCTGTGGTTCGCCCCGCCAGGCCTTGCCAGCTGGCGTGGGCCCGAACCAAACCCAAACTTTCACTCAACCTCGAGTTCTGGAGGGCACAAATCTCCTTCCTCAAGAGCGATGCCTATCATTATGTGTTTTCAGGAATAGGTTCATTCAGCTTCTGAATCCAATTGGGGAGCTGGACGAAGATCGCGTGAAGCTACTACTACACTATTCATACTACGAGCCTTCGGTGCCCTGATGTGGGAGACCCACAGTTGCTCCGAGAGCGCAGCGCACCTTAGGCTAAGTAACAATACACCATTGTCAACAGCGATACCAGAAGTGTGATCTGAGTGTCAACAGACGCCTGGAGGTCTCATAGTCAGAGAAACCTGTCTCAAACCGCCTGCTTGTAGCAAGGGATGGCAACACCAGCAGCCATGGATCCACCTCCATTCCCGTACCCTTCTTCATCGCCTCGCAGTGCTCCCCCGAGTGAGGAATCCCCTTACACCGACTCTCTCCTGCCGCTCTTTCCGTCGCCAGCAACCCAGGCCCCTCTGAACCGCGACAATTCAGGATTTCGTCTTTCTGAACCGATTGCTCCAAAGCCGGTCTTCTCAGGAAAGAGGGTAGGATCAGAACCGGACTCCACCGCTTCTGGCTCCAGGAAACGCTGTCAGAGCCAGCCTTTTCCTCGCAGCAGCAGCACAAGCCGTGGCAGCACGTGGCAATCAGAGCAATGGAGAGCCACATCAGCAGCTCTGGCAAGCCCCACGAATCGCCCGTCTGATGCGGCATCAGCACCCGCACACAGGCGGAGAAGGGTCGGAGGAGCAGCAGCAGCGGCAAGCACGGCGAGCCTGCCTGCTAAGCTGCCTACAGCAGAGGGGTTTGCGCGTGAGATTCAGGAAACGGCTCGATCCATGAGCTTGGATCTGCCTCCGCCTTGCTGCTCGTCTATGTGTTCCTACTTCTCGGTGCCCTGCAGGATGAAAAGCGGGTGGTATGGTGGCGTTTTGGCGGGAACTTCTAGGAGTGGGGGAGCTGGGGTGCATGAGAATAGCGGCATGGCTGTGCAGCAGGTAAAGCAGCGGGAACCGCAACATTCAGAACAGCAGGCACAGCCGCAGCCACCGCAGCAGCAGCAGGTTCAGCAGCAGGTGCAACAGCAGCAGCAGGTGCAACAGCAGTCCCAACAACAGCAACAGGCGCAGCCGCAGCAGCAGCAGACACAGCCGCAGGCACAACAGCAGCCGCAGGCACAGCCACAAATGTGGTGGCTCGGACAGGAACAAGGCCAGGCGATGCCAAAGCGGCTTGCACAGCAGCAGCAGCCGCAACAGCAGCAGCAGCAGCAGCAGCCGCAACAGCAGCAGTGGCAGCAGCAGCAACAACAGCAGCCGCAACAGCAGCAACAACAGCAGCAACAACAGCAACAGCAACAGCTGCAGCAGCAGCAGCAGCAGCAGCAGTTGGTGGCTCTGCCACTGCCGCCATATCTTGAGCTGGGACCACAAGAACATCAAGCACTCTCACATCGCCTCCAGCTATTCCCCCCTCATGATGTCTCAGAACGAGAGTGTACTCGCCCGAACAGTTCACGTGTCGTGCCTATGACTGAGTCAGCTTATATCGAGGATCGTGATGCAGCTGTTGGAGAGACAGGTCAGCACCCTATCCAGATCCAGAGCCCTAGTTCAATGGACACGAGAGGCAGTGTGTGCAAGGATAGGGAAACCCCAAGAAATGCTCCTGAGGTGGGGCAAGATATTCCTTTTCGCACAGAGTCACGGCAAAGCCAGTCGTTTGCAACCGAACCAGCTCAGCAACAGCCTTTGTTGTTTGGCCGGGTTCTTTCGTCTGTCAGTCGTGATGTGGAAAGCCGGGAAGATTGGGCGGTGAAGCGAGCTGCGTGTTTTGAGGATGTTGGGTGCAGTGGGAGGGAGACTGAAGCATCTGCTGGAAATAAGGGTCTTGAAGGTGGTAATGTGTTGGGTGCGGGTAACAGATTGTTCGGTTGCGTGCTTTCTCAGACTAGCGATCAGCACGAGCCAAGTAGGGCAAGTCAACATATAGATCTTAGCCTAGACCTGTGAATAGATATACCGTAGGTGGGATGTGGGTTGCTGCACAAGATGTGAAATGTTATAATACACACAACCCAAAGTGCACCAGAAAAGGTGAAGCTACACTAACGTGGGTTGTAAGAGGTGAAGCTACACTGACGTGCAAATTTCGCTACACGTTATAACACGTTATCACAAATTTCGCTCCCGCCTTCCTTCAGCTCCAAGGCACCCTTTGTACCAGATATCGGATTATATATTTCTTCTGGCCTCGGGGTCTCCGAACAAGCGCAATGGCGGTTCCTCTTCCACAAAGCCGCTTTACGTAAACCGCGCAGGGATCCTTTTACCCCGCCCCTCATTAGCTCGATTTTTGGGGTCCTCTTTCGCCAAGCGCCCCTTAGTTTTCGAAAATCCTGACGGCTAGATGAGTAGCAGACTCATGGACTAGTAGGGTCTGTGATGCGTCCCTCATTTCGTCGCGATGCGTCCTGGTTCTCGCAGCTCCACTCGAGTAGGTGGCGCGTCGCGTACGTCGATACGATTCTGAGGCTTGAAGTGCTGGCAGGCTCTGTTGGACGGTCGCGTCGGCAATTTCTAGGTTTAGCAAGTTCGTTCGTCGAGCTTCCAGTTCTGTAGTTTTACCTCCGCTTACTGCCGACGACGAGTATTTTTCAAATTCGTGCAAATTTAAGCCTTCGAGTTGCCTTAGGGATTTCTGCTTACGTTTCCGGTAGGTAGTTTCTAGAAAATTGCTCTCAAACCGTTATATTTCGAGAAATCTACCGGCTTTAGCCCGTCTTCTGCTGTTTAGGGCGTAGTTTCGGGTCGTGTTCAGGTTATCTGTGCTCCTGCGTGTTTTCCCGAATTCGTGGATTTCACTTCCATCCATCAGAAGCAATCAGAAATCTTGTTCAGCGTCTTAACCGGAATAATATTTTAAGCCTTAGTAATTGAGAGCAAGATTCGGTCAGCATCACAGATTGGAACATTATCTGAGACGAGATCAAGACTCGGTCAGCATCACAGATTGGAACATTATCTGAGACGAGATCAAGACTCGGTCAGCATCACAGATTGGAACATTATCTGAGACGAGATCAAGACTCGGTCAGCATCAGAAACTCGAATCCCGAGCGACCTCGAATTCACCGGTTTCCAGCATGCTTCCTAGCAGTGCCGTGGTAAGCATTAGCCGACCCATTTGACGGATTCTTCCCATGATGGTTCTTGTCGAGGCGTCTTGAAAGCCCTGCATGCTTCTCGCACTGTTGTGAGTGTTGTTTTCTTAGAATTCTCCTCCTTCCTCCTCTCCCCCCGTTCCGCAGCGCGAGCTCCGCAAGACTCGTCTAGTACAGCCGGTGGACATATAGCAGAGGGACCCGCCTGTATCCCCCGCTACTCCAACGATTTCCCCGTTTCCTCCCCTCTCCTCCCCCCCTCTCTCTCCCCCCGCTTCCCCAGCGCGAGCTTCTCAAGACTCGTCGGCTACAGCTGGCGGACGTAGCAGGGGGGCCCGCATGTCTCCCCCCACTCCTCCGCGCGCAGCCCCACCTCGCCCCGCGCATCATCTCCGCCCTCCTCACTTTCTGCGCTCCCCCCCAGGAGGGGAGATGGGGGGAAGGGCGGGAGGTCAGGCGGGATCGGGGACGAGGCTCTTGGGGGGAGGGCGCGGGGGAAGGAGGAGCAGGAGGGGTAAACGAGGGTGGTGGCGACGCTGCTTTCTTAGACGAGGCAGTAGAAGCGGTTATGACTTTAAGCGGTGGTCGCGTGGGCTTTAATCTCGATCTGGATTCTCTAGCCATGGTGAAAGAAGCCTATTCTGGTGCTGTGGATTGGATTCTCTGGGCGGCATGCGGATCCGATCCAGAATCCACACTGGCGGCTCTCGGCCAATCAGGAACGTCGGGGGTATGCGGGGCGGTATGGGGGGCGAGCGACATAGCATATAGATGCCGATCGTGTGAGCATGACCCTACCTGTGCCATATGTGTTCCCTGCTTTCTAGACGGGGACCACGAGGGGCATGACTATGCAATGATCAAAACGGGCGGTGGATGCTGCGACTGCGGCGATCCAACGGCCTGGAAGCGTCAGGGGTTTTGCAAGAAGCATCCTGGCCCTGGGCACGCCCCGCCCCTCCCGGAAAGTTTCGTTGCCCGGGCAGAACCCGTGCTGGCCGCGGTTGCTGCGGAATGGCAGCAGAAAATAGTTTTCGCTGCCCGGCTGGAGGAGGAACGGAGTGGAGGCGCAGCAGGGTGGGGGGGTTCTGGGTTTGGGTTTGGAAGCGGGAGAAGCGGGGGCGGAGGGGGAGGGGGAGGCGGAGGGGGAGGAGGGAGAGGCGGGACAGCGGGAAGCAGTATGAGCTCGCTGCTAGGTTCCCTCACAGGGGGTGTGGGGGGGTCGGGAGGGTGGATGAGTGGTAACGATGGGTTCAGAGGATCTTCCTCCTTCTCGTCCTCCCCCTCCTCTTCCTCCTCCGCAGCGTTATCAGCAGCAGCGCGGTTGCGAGCAGCGAAGAACGAGGCAGCAGCAGCAACTGAGAGGTTCTCGGAGATGTTTCTGAGACTGGCCAGCACCAGTGAAGGGCTGCTGCACCTTGTCTCGTCCGTGCTCACCAGGAAAAGCCCTATCCCCGTTACTGCCCGCCCTGATACAGTGCCATCGGGGTTCCATCCGACCAACATTACCATTACTCCTACTGCTTCTTCTGCCCTTACAGCCGCTGCCCCTACTGGTCCCGTCTCTGCTCCTGGATCTTCCCATGCACTCTCTTCTTCGGCTCCTGTGGGATTAGGATCACTGCTCAACCCAGCAGCAGGGTCGTCTCTCCCAGCATTGTCACATCCCGCAGCATCACCTCCCTTAGTGTCACCTCCCCCAGCCTCACCTCCCTCTACCACCGCTGCTGCTGCATCCGCCAGTCTGTTGGAAGCTCTGGTGGCAAACGAGGAGGGTATTAAAGAGGACTCCATGCTCGTAGCCCACCGCCTTCTCTACAAGCTCCTAGGCGACCCGGGCTTTAAGTACCAATTCGCCCTTGCGTTCGTTGCTAACTACTCGGCCTTCGTGCTGGGGAGTGGGGGGAGAGGGGACGGGGAGGAGGGCGGGGGAAGGTGGGGGGGAGGGGGTGCGCGGGGGAGCGGAGGGCGGAGGGGAAGAGGAGCGGCGGGGAGTGGGAGTGCAGGGAATAGGGTATCGGTTCTGGAGAGCTTTTCGGTGCAGATTCTTACGGTGCCGGTGCTGACGCCCAGGCTCGTGGTGGAGGCTCGGCTGCTGGATATCCTGCTGGGTACCCTGCAGAGCATGCTGCAGGGGGCGCTGGGACGAGACGGGCGCATCAATGTGAGTTGCGGGTCTGTCCTGAGAAAATTCAAAATTTGAGACACACTTTGGCTGAGAATGCTTAGAAGAGGCTCGGCTGCTGGATATCCTGCTGCAGAGCATGCTGCAGAGCATGGTGCAGAGCATGGTGCAGAGCATGATGCAGAGCATGCTGCAGAGCATGCTGCAGAGCATGATGCAGAGCATGCTGCAGAGCATGGTGCAGAGCATGATGCAGAGCATGCTGCAGAGCATGGTGCAGAGCATGCTGCAGAGCATGCTGCAGAGCATGGTGCAGAGCATGATGCAGAGCATGCTGCAGAGCATGATGCAGAGCATGGTGCAGAGCATGATGCAGAGCATGGTGCAGAGCATGATGCAGAGCATGATGCAGAGCATGCTGCAGAGCATGGTGCAGAGCATGCTGCAGAGCATGGTGCAGAGCATGGTGCAGAGCATGGTGCAGAGCATGGTGCAGAGCATGATGCAGAGCATGCTGCAGAGCATGCTGCAGAGCATGATGCAGAGCATGCTGCAGAGCATGATGCAGAGCATGCTGCAGAGCATGCTGCAGAGCATGATGCAGGTGTCGCGTGATTGACGGCGTTCGCTGCGTCTATCTCCCACTTTTGTTCCGACATTCGCCGTTCTCTCGCCTCCCAATCCCCCGCTCCCCCCGTTTCTCCCATCTCCCCCAGCTGTCCCGAGAGGAGGTCCACAATGGGCGAGTGACCGACGACATTCGCTACATTCCTTCCCACTCCGCCTCCTCCTGTGCTTTCCTCTCTTCTCTTACCTATCCCCTCTCCCCCACCCCCCCCCCCCTCAGTTATCCCGAGAGGAGGTGCACAACGGGCGAGTGACCGACGATATTCGCTACGTCCTCTCCCACTCCGCCTCCTCCCGCCACGTCACCGCCCGCCGCCCGGACCTGCTGCGCGCGTGGCTGCGCCAGTTGGCGGCCGCCCAAGGCATGTGTCCACACATGCGGCGCACAACCACCCACGTGGCAATAGAGCCGGACGATTGGAGCTTCGCGTACCTGTTAGAAGCACAGCTGGCGACGGTCAACCCGCTGCTCGCCGAAGCTAGCGCCGTGCCTGAGCTGGAGGCTCGGAAGGAGGGTCGGCAGGTGGAGGGAGGGTCGGCAGGGGAGAAAGGGGGAGGAGAGAAGGTAGGGGAGAAGGCGGCTGAAGGGGGAGGGTTTCCGGGGTTGGGGTTCGGGAGGAGGAAAACCCTGAGATGGTTTGTGGATGAAGGTGCAGGGCAGCACGCAGGGCAGCAGGCAGTGGGGCAGCAGCAAGGGGAACAGGCAGGGGGCAGTGGCAGTGGCAGAAGCGATGGCACAACAGCAGAAGCAGCAGCAGGAGAGACCATCCCTGGGGATGGAGGTTGGGGGGGTGGTGCTGCTGAACTTGATGCTACTACCAGCTGGAAGGCAGAGGGTTTTGATCCAGAGGCATATGCGGATGACTGGAGAGAGACCGAGACAGGCACGCACACATACCTGCCGCCCCGAGCCTGCGAGGTTCGGCAGGTGGCGGCGAGGTTCGGCGTGCCTCCGGCGCTGGTGCGGCTGCTGCACGAGTGTGCGTGGGTGCTGGCACGGTGGGTGGCAGTGGAGGGATTGAGATCTCTGGGGTCAGCGTTTGGGAGCGGGGCGAGCAGTGTGGAGGCACTGAGACTGCTCGGCCTTACCAGGTCGCATTTTCCTGCGTTTCCATCTGCTGCTGCTGGGAATGCTGGTGCTGCTGCTGCTGGTGATGCTGGTACTGCTGACGGTGGTGGTGCTGCTGCTACTGGTGCTGCTGGTGGCGGTGCTGGTGGTGGTGCTAGTGCGACGGCGATAAGAGGGATGAGGCAGCTTGGGCAGCTGGGTCTGTTACCAGGTGCAGCCGCAGCAGCCATGGCTCGTATCACCTCCCCTTCCCACCCGCCCCGCCCCACTCCCTCCGCCTCCCCGCCCTCGCCTCTGCTAACCCCTCTGCCTGCCGCTGCCACCACAGGTAGACTCTCTGGTGGGGGCACGTCTGGGGAAGGCTCATCTGGGGGAGGGGTTGCTGGTGGGGGTAGGCCTAGGGGGGTGTCAGCGCCTTCGCTGACTGCTGCTGCTGCTTTGGAACAGCAGCAACAGGAGGGTCAGTCGCAGCAGCAGCAGCTAGAGGGTCAGCAGCAGCAACAGCAGGAGTATCAGCAGGTGCAGTTACTGTCTTCGGTTCTCGTCCACGCCCCAGGAGCTTCTCTCCTGTCGTTCAAATGGGCCCAGGACGAACTGAAGAGCCTTGCTTCCGAGGCAGCTGCTGCTGCTGCTGCAGAGAGGGCGGGTGGAGGAGGAGGGGCTGTGGGTGGTCGAAGCAGCATAGCAGGTGACGCTGGGGAAGCAGGAGCAGTAGGAGGAGGAGGAAGAGGAGCAGGAGGCGGAGGGGGAGGGGCAGCAGGAGGCAGCGGCGCCAGTCCAGTGGGGCGAGCAGGGAGGTTCCTATCAGGCATGGCCGCAGCAGCAGGGGCGGCAGCTGCTGCTGTGGGCGGCAGAACCACAAGAGCAGGCAGTCCGGGCGCTAGAGGGGGAAGTCCAGGGGGATTGGGGCAAGAGAGAGTGGCGACAGCAGGAGCAGAGGCAGTGCCTGCGCTTGGGCTTGACGCGTTGGGGAGAGGGGGAGGGGAAGGAGGTGTGGGAGGAGCAGAAGCGGGAGGGGGTGCTGGGTTAGGAGCGGGTGCAGGGCTGGGTAGAGTGGGTTTGAGAGAGGTGGAAGGGAGTGCTGCTGCTGCGATTGTTCCTGGTCCTGCTGCTGCTCCTGCTGCTGCTGCTGCTGCTGCTGGTGGTGGTGGTGGCACAGGAAGGGGAGGGGAGGAGCACGCAAGACAGGAGGGGGAGGACATGACCCACACGCAGAGGGGCCACATGGGGATCTTAAGCAACTGGCTCAGAAGGGCGTCTAGGTTCAGGGCGACAGGGGGAGAAGGGGCACAGGGAACCCAGGGCAGGCATGCAGGGGCAGGTGAAGCAGCAGGCGCAGAGGCAGCATGGGCAGACGTAGGGGTAGGTGCAGAGGCAGGAGGGGCAGAAGGAGGGGAAGCAGCGGCAACAGCCATGCAGACAGATTCGTTGGCAGCAACAGAGGCAGCGACTCTCTCTACTGCGCACCCCCCCTCCGCCGCCCCCCCTCTCTCCGCTGCTGCTGCTGGTGCCCTCAGTGCACTGAGCAGCCCCTGCTGGTGGGTGGGGCGGCAGCAGCTGTCGCTTCTTGAGGGGCTGCTGCCGTTCCCTCCCCCCCGGGTTGAACCAGGGGACTTGGCAGGGGGGAACACGCCACAGGAGGGGGCTTGGGCAGAGGAATTTGCTGCAAAAGGGGCAAGAGAAGGGCCAGGGGCAGTTTTGGGGGCATGGGCAGTTTTAGGGGCGGGGGCAGTAGCAGGGGCGGGGGAACGCTGTATTACCATGGCTACGGAGGGGTGGGAGGCGAGTTCTATGTCCAAGGGGGCTGTGCGTGGGGCTGTGCGTGGGGCTGTGCGTGGGGCTGAGAGTGTGCTGGAGTGGCCAGTGGTGGAGTACGATGTGGCGCGGCAGGAGGTGTCGTTTCACCTGCCTCTGCACCGCATGCTCGCACTGCTCCTGCACTCCCTGCTGCGCCTCTCCTGCCCCGTGCCCGACCCACCAGGCGAAGCACATGGGGACTCAGAGCAGAGGGTTGGGAACGAAGGGATGGTGGAGGGCTCACGGGATGCGAGGGAGGAGAGATGGAGGGAGAGAGAGGCGGCAGAGCTGTGCTTGCTGCGCCTGCTGCCCAGTAAGCTCCAGAGAGGAAGCTTCCTCGCAGCTGTGGCTGAGCACGGGCTGCGAGTGCAAGTGCTGTGCGCGCAGATATCAGCGGGCATGTGGAGGAGGAACGGGCAATCCATGGTGGCTCTCTGCGACCTCTACCACTCCGTGCACTGGTCAGTCGTTTCTGCCGCCTCTCTCTGTGCTCCTCCTCTCTCTCTCTGTGCTCCTCCTCTCTCTGTGCTCCTCCTCTCTCTCTCTGTGCTCCTCTCTCTGTGCTCCTCCTCTCTCTCTCTGTGCTCCTCCTCTCTCTGTGCTCCTCCTCTCTCTCTGTGCTCCTCCTCTCTCTGTGCTCCTCCTCTCTCTGTGCTCCTCCTCTCTCTGTGCTCCTCCTCTCTCTCTGTGCTCCTCCTCGCTCTCTCTGCTCCCCTCACCCCTCGCTATGTGCTTTTGCCACCTCTCTCTCTGCGACCTCTACCACTCTGTGCACTGGTCAGTCTAGTCATTGGTTGGTCGTTCTGGTCGTAAAACCCATGTCAGTCTCTTCATAGCCCCCGTCTCCACGTCACATGGCATCGCATCGCATCGCATTGCATCGCAACACATCACATGCCATGGCATCATCATGTGTATCCCACAGGTGCGAGGACAGTCTGGAGTTGGGTCTCTTTCTCCTGCACTGCACTGCCATCTCGGCTCCTCCTGACCCCTCCCTCTCTCCTCTCAAGCTTCATATGACCATCATACCCGCCCCCTGACCTGACCCCTCTTCCCATGCCATGCCAGGTGCGAGGACAGCCTCGAGTTGGACCTCTTCCTGTTGCAGTGCACTGCTGTCTCTGCTCCTCCTGACGCCTTTGTGCGCCAGGTTGTAGCGCGCTACAGCCTCACCAGCTACTTCTCTCTCACAGTTGGGACGGCCTCAGAGTGAGTAAACAGCAGGATTCCTGCAGTGCACCAGTGCCGCCTGTCTCTGCTCCTCCTGACACCTTTGTGCGCCAGGTTGTAGCGCGCTACAGCCTCACCTCCTACTTCTCCCTAACCGTGGGGACTGCATCAGAGTGAGTCAGCAGTAGGATTGCTGCAGTGCACCACTGTCGTGTTTTGCCTTCTCCAGACACATTCGTTCCAGCATCATCACCTCCTCTTCCACCCTCTCTTCCTCTCTCCCCTCTTTCCTTCCCGACACCGCCCAACAACAGGTACGAGCCTGCAATGAGGTGACTTTTGAGTCGACTCAAAAGTCACCGCCCAACTTCAGGCACGAGCCTGCAGTGGCGCAGGACTGCATGGCGTTCCTCATCCGCCTCATCTCAGAGCGATCCTTCTCCGGCCTCCCCCCCACTGTGGCGCTCCGGAGGGAGGTAGTCCAGCGCCTAGCCATCGGAAACGCCACCCTCCCTCTCCACCCCTTCCCATCCCCTCCTCCCTTTTTTTGTCCTGACACCCGCACACCTCCTGTTTCTCACCGCCTGCCTTCCACCCCCTGTCCCCCTTCCCGTCCCTCCTCTCCATTCCCCACCGTACAGGTACGAGCCTGCAGTGGCGCAGGACTGCATGGCCTTCCTCATCCGCCTCATCTCAGAACGATCCTTCTCCGGCCTCCCCCCCACTGCTGCTCTCCGAAGGGAGGTAGTGCAGCGCCTAGCCATCGGCAACGCCACCCGCAGCAGCGTTGTCAAATCTCTCCCCCCCCGCTTCGCCGAAAACCCCGCCATCCCCGTTGTTCTCGCCGCTGTCGCGGATTATTCCCGGCCCTCGGGTATGGAGCAGGGCCGGTACTTACTTAAAAGAGACTGTTACAGGGAGCTGGATTTGTACTGCCTAAGATGGGCGCCTAGGGAGTTGCAGCGAGCGGAAGAGAGGTATGCGGAGGCGGTTAAGAGATCGGCGGTTGTGGAGCAGACGCCGAGGTGGCGCGATCCTGTCCGTCCGTTGATGGGCCTGCGGGAGATCGCCACGTCAGCAGGCGTGCATGACGTGGTGTTGTCGGTGGTGCTGCACGCGTGGTGGGACGAGGAGGGGCGGGAGATGAGCTACAGAGAAGCCAGAGGTAGCAACGGTGCCGGCATTGGGAGTGGGAGTGGGAGTGGTGGTGGCGGTGGTGCTAGTGGGAGTGCAGGTAGTGGGAGTGGGAATGGGATTGGGTTGTCTCGTGCGCCTGATATTGTGCTGCATGCCGCGCTGCATCTGCTGGCATTGGCTCTTGACACTTGCGTGGCGTGGCAGGAAGCCGAGGAGAAGAAGGGGCGGGAAGGACAGAGAGGGCAGGGAGGAGACGAGGAAGAGCAGGGAGAGAAGGTGGGGAGAGAGGGTGGTGAGGAGGAGGGGATGCGGATGGATGTGGATGGGCGTGTGGGAGGGGATGCGAGCGGCGGTTGGAGTGAAGGAAGAGAAGCAAGAGGGGGAGGAGAAGGAAGGGAAGGAGAAGGAAGGGAAGGAGAAGCGGGTTCAGGCTCAGGCATGGAAGTGGAAGGGGCGGACTGGATGGCTGGTGATGCACGTGGTCATGTTGACCATGCAGCTGTGCAGAAGAGACACTCCTGGCCACCGGCCCTCCTGTCCCGAGCATGCCAGCCATTCGAAGCCCGGTTACCAGACAACAGCAGCAGCAGCGGCAGCGGCAGTGGCAGCAGTAGCACGGCCGCGGGGCTGTTCGCCCTGCTGCCAGGAGCGACCCTCTCGACCCTCTCGTCCTCTCACTGGTTCCGCGCGTCCCATGCTGCCCCGGTGTCCCTGCTTGCGCTCCTCGTGCGCCTCCTGCGGTGCTGGCAGCGCCAGGCAGGGACGACGCACGGCACGGCTGCTGCTGCTGGTAGTGAAGGGATGGTGTTAGTGGCCGGGAATGAGAGTAGGGGGAGGGAAGGCGAGGAGGGTAGAAGCACAGCAGTTGGGGAGAGGTCGGGCGGGGCAGGAAGGGGAGGGGGAGGGGAGGGGCGGGCGGAGCTGCATGTTCTGGTGCTGCGGCTGCTTAAGCGTTTCTCTCAGCTAAGCGACGAATGCAGGAGGTCTCTGGAGGTGCTTTGCCCGGAGGAGTTTGATAAGGGGAAGGGGAAGGTGGCGGTTACAGGGGGCGGGGGAGGGACTGGGGAAGTGGGGGTGGAAGGGGCAGCAAGGGCAGGAGGAGCAGGTGTGGGAGGTGGGGACGGTGTGGGAATAGGGGGCAGTGAGATAAAGGTTGGAGAGAATGGGAGGGGAAGTGATGGTGGTGGTGCGGGTGGTGAGGAGAAGGGAGAGGGTGGGCCGTTGAGTGAAGCTGATGCGAAGAAGGCGTTTGCTCGAGCAAGGCAGCAAGCGCTGCTGGTACGTGGTTGAGTGAGTGAGTGGGGCGTGATCCTGGTTACTTGTTGAATTTACTTAAAATTTCTCAGGCAAAGCAGCACGCAATGCTGGTACGTGCTCTACACTAAAGCACCTTTTTTTTATTTGTAATATTGCTGCGTACCCTAAACCCTAGACCCCCTTTCTTATTGTTTTCTCTCAACAAACAGGCGAAAATGCGGGCAGCGCAGCAAAGATTCGCAGCAAGCATGAATCAAGGCAAAGGAAAGGAGGGGGAGGAGGAAGAGGAGGAGGAGGAAGGGGAAGAGGAAGAAGAGGAGGAGAAGAAGGGGAGGTTGGAGACAGGGGGGTGGGAGTATGGACGAGATGTAGACATGGGAGTGGGTGAGGAGGGGGGGAGGAAGCGAGGGAAGAGGCGGAAGGGGAAGGCAGTGGTTGGGGAGGAGGAAGAGGAGGAGAGGGAGTGTGTGCTGTGTAGGGAGGGGGACAAGGGAGGGACGGCTTCTCCGCTCTGCCACATTGTTTTCTGTCAGGTGGGTGCTTTTCTCTCACCCTTCCCCACTGGTGGTTGGGGAGGAGGCAGAGGAGGAGAGGGAGTGTGTGCTGTGCGTGCAGGGAGGGAGACAAGGGGGGAACAGAACAGGGTGTTTTTGAGAATTCGCAAAAACACCCTGCAGCAAGGGGGGACAACCACATTGTTTTCTGTCAGGTGGGTGCTGGGCTCGCTGCATTATGTCAGGTGCTGCTCTGCTGCCTGTCAGGAGCTGTTCTGTTGCCTCCCAGGTGCTGCTCTCTGTTTCTCTTGAACAAAAACACCTGTTTTTGTTGCTTCATCTCTTACCCCTTTTTTTTTTTTCTCCAAATATCTCCCCTTCACTCTCACCCCCTCCTGTCTACTTGCCACTCCAACAGAAATCTCGTCTTGTGGGTCTCTCCAACCGTTTCTCCCCCACCTGGCAACACGGTTCTCATGCCCCTGCTGCCCCTGCTGCCCCGCCTACTGCCACCCACACTGCTGGTGTTGGTGTAACTGGTGCAGGGGGGACTGGGGCAGGTGCGACTGGGGCAGGGGCCACTGGAGGGCAGCAGCAGCAGGGTTTGGGGCAAGCGGTGATTGTGCTGGGGGGAGCACGTACCGCTGCTGCAGCTGCTGCCCCTGGTGGGGGGACGGCAGCGGGAGCGGGGATGGGGATAGGGGCAGGGGCAGGGGCAGGGGGGGTCGGCACAGGGATAGGCACAGCTGCTGCAGCAACAGCGGGAGCATTTGCAACCAGGGCAGCAGGAGGAGCAGGTACAACAACAACAACAACAACAGCAGGAGGAACAGCAGCAGCAGGAGCAGCAACAACCACGGGGACGTGGGTGCAAGCCACAGAGTTTCTGGACTGGATCAGAGCGACCCTGCGTGAGGGGGGCGGGGGCCCTGTGACTGTCCAGGGGCCCAGGGGCGAGTGGCAGGTGGATGGGGAGGATCTGATGGACATTCTGCAGCAGGAACTACCGGGGGAGGTGCGATTCACGACTACTATAGTCACAGGGGAGGGGTGGCCGGGTGTGGAAGGGGGTGGGGATGGGTTAGGAGTGGGGTTGGGGCCTGGTGGGGTGGGGGGAACGGGCAGGGGGGAGAGGGGAGTGGGAGAGAGGGGAGGAGGGGGTGTGGAAGGGGCGGTTGCAGGAGAGGGCGGGGGAGGGCAGGGGGACGAACGGGTGACTGAGGGGCGAGGAGGGGAAGGAGGGGAAATAGGGGTGGGAGCGAGCGAGGAGGAGACAAGAGAAGAGGATGAGGATGATGAGGAGGAAGAGGAGGAAGAGGGAGAGGAAGGGGGGGAGGAGGAGGGGGAGGATGAGATGATGGATGGGCAGGGGTTGCTGCTGCTGGGGGAGGAAGAGATGGGAGAGGCGGGGGCAGAAATGTTCTCAGATACCGATGATGACGACACTGGTGATGATGATGGTGATGGTAGGAATGGGGATGATGGGGATGATGCGCAGGAGGAGGGTGCTGGTGCTGGTGCTGGTGCTGGTGCTGGTGCTGGTGGGGATGGCGATGCGGATGAGGTGATGCAAGATGCTGCGAGTCAGGGGCTGGAAGAGGATGGGGATGAGGGGCAGCAACGGGGGGGACCACGGGAGCAGCAAGATGGGCAGACCCAAGGGGTGCCGGGGGCAGCACCAGCACCAGCACCAGCAGCAGCAGCAGCAGCAGCAGCAGCACCACATGTGGAGCACGCAGGTGCAGCAGCAGCAATGGCACCAGCGGCAGCATCGGCAGCAGCGGCAGCAGCGGCAGCAGGGGCAGCAGGGGCAGCTGCAGTGGAGCAGGCAGGTGCAGGTGGCATGGGCACTCATGGCATAACCACAGTGCCGCCTGTTGCTGCAGTGCCGCCCGTTGCTGCAGTAGTGGGAGCAGGCACTGCCATTCCTGAAACCACAGCAGGGGCCACCGAACCGACAGGGAGAGCCGGAGCCACTGTACCGACAGGGAGAGGGCAGGGGACTGGAGGGGAAGCACGGGCAGCGGCAGGGGGAGCGCGAGCAGGGGCAGGGGGAACGCGAGCAGGGGCAGGGGGAGCGCGAGCAGGGGAGGGGGGAGCTGGCGCAGCCAGGGGGAGGCTGGATGCGGTGCAGGCTGCAGCGGGGGAGGTGTTTCGTGGGTTCTGGATGAACATTCCCCCCATCAGGCGCACTGCCAGGCTGAGGCGCAGGGGGATCTCGGGGAGGGCGGATCTGTTTGGGCAGGCAGGGGGAAGGGGGAGAGGAGTGGAGGAGAGGGAGAGTGGGGCGGTGGTGGGCGGGGGGATGGCTATTGGGGTGTGTGTGAAGGGGTGTGGGCATGTGATTCATCATTCCTGCATGGACCAGTATTTCTCAAGTCTGTACCAGCGGTGAGTGTGTTGTTACTAGCTGGGAGTGTGTCTTATCCAGGAGCGAAGGGATGTGGGCATGTGATACACCACTCATGTATGGACCAGTACTTCTCAAGTCTCTACCAGAGGTGAGTGGGTCTGTACTAGCGGCAAGTGTGTGTCCCTTATCCACCACCCATGCGTAGACTCGTAGTTCATCAGTGAGCAGAACTATCGGCAAGTGAGTGGACCAGTAGTGTCTCGAGTCTGTATCAGCACTGAGCGGCTCAGTCCACAAGGCCTTTTCTGTGCCAGCCCTGTGCCGTGCTGGCACGGTGATTATCCGAGTCGTTCTTTCTACGAGGGCTCATCTGTAGTGGACCCTGAAGCGTTGGGTGGGACTATTGTTTAAGCGCCTAAAAAGCACCTCCCTTTTTTTTCTCCCGACCTGTCCCCACCTCGCCCCACCTCTCCCTGTGCCGTGCTGGCAGGTATCTGAGTGGTTCTTTCTACGAGGGCTCATCAGTGGTGGACCCGGAAGCGGTGAGTGTGGGAGTGCATTGAGGGAGGGCGGATATGCACCACGCCCGTGTTCAGGTTGTTTCTTAGATCTCTCAACAACGATCCACAACAAAGAGGTATCCGAGTGGTTTCTTCCTTCTACGAGGGCTCATCAGTGGTGGACCCGGAAGCGGTGAGTGTGAGAAGCTGAATATGCACCACGCCCATATTCGGGCAACTGGGCCAAAACACTCAAATATTGCATGATAGGAAGGAAACTTTGAGGGATTTTTCTCTAGGATATGTGTGCTATGGGAGCAACCTTTTTCACTTTTTGGCCGTTTTCGCCCTCTTATATTCGCCTTTGATCCTCCATCCCCACTGCCCTGTGCGGGGGTAGTGGGGATGGGGGCACTCCATCCTCCATCCCCACTGCCATTCTCACTCGAGTGCCTGCAACCTCCCTGTGCCTCGTTTCTCCTCCCTTCTCCGCCCCTCTATCCCATCCTGCTTACTTTCTCTTTTCTCCCCTCCTGTCTCTGTCCATCCCCCCCCTCCACCGCACCACACCACACCACACCACACCACACCACACCACACCACACCACACCACACCACACCACACCGCAGGGCGAGTTCCTGTGTCCCGTGTGCCGCCGTCTCGCCAACGCCACGCTTCCTCTGCTCCCATCACGCTCCCCGCCTCTGCCCTCCCCACTGCTCCCCTCGCTTCCCCTCCCAATTTCTCTGCCCTCTCCTCCCTTCCCTGGAGCTCCCTTCTCCACCCCCCTTGCTGCGTCTGCTGAGACACAAGGACGGGCACAAGAAGCAGTGCAGATTGGAGCAGCAACAGCAGGAGAAGCAGCAGTGCCGAGAGTAGCAGCAGGAGAGACCGGAATGCATGGTTCAGAAGACACGTCAAGTGGTGCGTCTGGTTTGGCTGGTGTAGTGTGGAGAATAAGGGAGGCGGAGAGCAGGGTGAGAGAACGTAATCTCCGAGCCTGCATCGTTGCCGAACCTGCTGTCAGGTCCGGGGAAGGCAGGCTCGGCACCAGAGCTGCGTCAAGGAGAGATTCAAGTGGTGGGACCACCATGAGCAGCACTGAGGGCATCATTAGGGCTGGCTCCTCTTTCCCTAGAGAAACAGTTACCACGGTAACGGGTAATGCGGTAACCGGTAGCGTGGTAATTACCCCTCAAGACATGGTAACCAGACAGCCTCCACGTATGCAGGAGGCTATAGAGGCCACAGCCATGCGCATCTGCCAGGTGGCGCGCTCCGATTCGTCGAGATTCCGCCACGTGGCGCTTGGCCGCGAGCTACAAGGCCTGCTGATCTGGCAGAGTTTGGAGTACACCGTCGCCTGCGCTGAGCTGGCAGGGCGAGGGGCGCCACCTGGCTGTCCAGCTGGCAGAGTTGACACGTCAGCACAGTTCTGGGGGCTGGGGGAGACAGCAGCAGCAAGGATGAGGACAGGTGGCGCAATGTGGTTGGCTACTGCTGAGGCAAGAGTTGCGGCATTGGCTGCTTGTGCAGAGGAGGAAGGGGGGAAGGGGGAGTGGATGGAGGGGAGGGCAGAGGGAGGGGGGAGTGGAAGTGCAAGCATTGGTGAGCGTGAGCAAGAGAGAGGTGGGTCAGGCAGTGCGATGCAAGTAGGGAGTGCAGGAGGTATGGAGGTAGGAGGGGATACCAGCAGTAGTGGTCAATCGAGGGGTGAAGGAGGGAACAGCATAGGAAGAGAGGTGGGCGGTGGTGAGGAGAGGAGCAGGGATGGTGAAGGGAGGAGTGGCGGTGGGGAGGAGAGAGGTAGCAGTGAGACGATGGACGAGGAGAGGAGACATCAGGAGTGGAGGAGGCAGCTTATAGAGAGGATGCAAGGGGGTTCGCAAGGGGGGGGAAGGAAGAGGAAGGCGGAGGGCACAGTAGGAGCACTGGCTCGCCTGGCAGTGGCGCAGGCGTCTCACAGCACACATGCTGTCTTACTCAGGACACGTGGCATGCTGCTATTGGTGGACAGCTTGGCCCCTGGGACACCGTTGGAAGCAGCACAATCCGCTGCACCTCTTGTTGCAGCACAAGCCGTCCCTTCATCTTGTTCTCCCCACCCCTCCCATCCCTCCCACCCCTCCCACCCCTCCCACCCCTCCCACCCCTCCCGTCCCTCCTCCTCCTCTGCTTCCACATCCACCTCCCCACCTCCCTCTCTCCCCTCCTCCCTCACCACCGCCCCATCCCCATCCTCTCCCCCGGAGGAAAACGCCTTTCTCCGCCTCCTCGCCTCCCCCGCTCTCGCGCGTGACCCCTTCCTCTCCCTCTCCCGCCTCCTCTACTGCCTCCTGCCGCTGCCCCTTCCCCACTTCGCCTCGCCTTCCCACCCATCTCAACACACAGCTTCAGGTTCGATGCAGCACAGAGCATACAGTGAGGAGGGTACAGGGGGTGTGGTGAGGGACGCGGTGCAGCTGGCGTACACAGCAGCAGTGGCTCAGGCGCTGCTGCTCCTCGCCCCTGCTGCCATCCGCCTGGGCATGCTCCCCTCTCCTCTTCCTCTTGGCAGTGTCCTTAATCAGGCATCCTCAGGGCCTAATAGCATTCCTGAGCCCGCCCCTGCTCTGCCGCCGTTCCTCTCGTCTCTGATCGCTTCCATGCTGCACACGTTAGCTGCTGGTTCCCCGCCGTCTACCCCAGCGACAGATGCTGCTGGTGCTGCTGCTACACCTGCAACCGTCACACCATCAGCAGCAGCAGCAGAAATACCACCAATCCCCTTGCTCGCCACATCTCCCTCCCACTCTGCCTCTACCCCCTCCTCCCCCTCTGCACCTCTCCTGCCGGACCTCCTCCTCCAGCAGACCTCGTTCCTGGATGCCGTGCGTCGCCTCTCCCTGCCCTTCCTGCGCCGCTCCGCCCTCCTCCTGCACCTCCTCTCCCGCAACGTCCTCCCTCTGCTGCTCATGCCCTCCGCTCCCTCCTTGCTCTTCCCCTCCCAACCGTCAACCATCCCCTCCCACCCCTCAATGTTCCCGTCCCCAACTCCCTCTCCTTCTCTCTGCGCCCCCTCCACTTCAACACCCCCACCCTCCCACCTCCATCATCCCAACCAAACAGGACCCTCTACCTCATCCCCTGCCACACCCCCCCCACCACCACCATCAGTACCACCACCATCACCAGCAGCATCAACAGCACCACCATCACCACCAGAACCATCATCATCATCATCATCATCACCATCAGCATCCACAGCCACCGCTGTCCTTCCTCCGTGGGTGGGAGACACCCAGGCGGTGGCACAGCAGGAGGTGGCGGAGGCAGGTGTGTGGGAGAGGGAGTTACATCTGCCTCCGCTACCTGTGCTGCTCTCAGACCCTGCTGCTGTGCACCTCATGCTCTCCTGCTGCCGCCACGCTGCTGCTGCTGTGCACCTCATGCTCTCCTGCTGCCGCCACGCTGCTGCTGCTGTTTCTGCTGCTAATGCGGCGACTGCTGCTAGGCCAGGCTCGTCACCTGCTGCTCCTGCTGCAGCACCGGCCGAAGTAGCAGCAGCAACAACAGCAACAGCACCGGCAGCTGCAACGGCGGCAGCAGCAGCAGCAGTGGCTGCAGTCATCTCGCCTCTGTCGTTGCACCAGCCATCACTCGCCTTGCCCTTCCGCCTCGTCTCCCTCCCCCACCGCTACCTCGACTTCTTCCAACGGTCAGTTCCCACCCTCCCCAGCCCTCCCTGCCCCGGCCCCCCTCGACGCCACCTCATGTTGCTACATGCAATCAGTTCCTACCCTCCTCGGTCATCCCTCCCTTCCCCCCATAGTGCTACCACCAAAATAATATCTAAGCTCTCGTTTCTGAGCTGCCTCTCCACGTGTGTGGCATTGGAAGCCCCCCCCTCCTCCTCCCTTGCTGTGTGTCGTGTGCATTGTGCCACCTGCTGCCTTTTGTGGTGCCTCCAAACTTCCATTCACCTTCTCCACCCTCCTCTCCTCCCCCTTACAGCTATGTGAATGAACCGTGTGCATCGTGCCAGCTAGTGCCGGAGCAGCCAGCCTTCTGCCTTCTCTGCGCAGCACTCCTCTGTGGATCCACCAGGTGAGCCTAGTCCATTTCCACACCCCTTCCCTGTATTGTGTGATGGGATGAGCCTTTGAATTCTTCAAACAGAAAGCTACTTCCGGAGGAGCCTGCTTTCTGCCTGCTGTGTGCTGTGCTGCTCTGCGGTTCCACCAGGTGAAGCCGCCGCACTGCCGCAGTGCCCCACCCGACCGATCTCCTCCTTTTGGTCACATAAAAAATGCCTCAAATACTCCTTCATTCATCTTTTGCGTCTCCTACCGCCCCAAAACACTTCCCTTTCCGTGCTCTCATGCGTCTTGCTTTCGAGAATTCTCAGAAGTAACTTCAACAGTTTTTCGTGCTCTCATGCCTCTTTCGCAGTCGAGTGCACATTTTACCTTCCTCTACCCCTTGCTCCTTTGCTCCCATGGTCCCTCCCTGCAGTCGTGTGCATGAGTCGAGGAGTGGGAGCACCAAGAGGGGCTGCTGTGGGGGGAGCTATGCACATGCCAAGGAGTGCGGGGCTGGCCTGGGGGTGTTCCTCCTCGTGCGGGTATGTATGTGTGTGCAGAGCACGTAACCAAGTCTTTTGCGTCACCCCAGAAGTCACCTCAGGGTCTATTCCTGTGGGGGGAGCTACGCACATGCCAAGGAGTGCGGGGCTGGCCTGGGGGTGTTCCTCCTCGTGCGGGTATGTGTGAGCGTGCATATGGCCATGTGCATGCACATTGTGCACACTCTTCCCCTGGAGAAGTTACACACATGCCAAGGAGTGCAGGACTGGCCTGGGGGTTTTCCTCCTCGTGCGGGTATGTGTGGCAGTGCGAGCAAGGCCAAGGCCATGTACACGTGCAGTGAGCAATTTCTCTCTGTCATCATCATGGCATGTACACGTGCAGTGAGCAATTTCTCTCTGTCATCATCATGGCATGTACACGTGCAGTGAGCAATTTCTCTCTGTCATCATCATGGCATGTACACGTGCAGTGAGCAATTTCTCTCTGTCATCATCATGGCATGTACACGTGCAGTGAGCAATTTCTCTCTGTCATCATCATGGCATGTACACGTGCAGTGAGCAATTTCTCTCTGTCATCAGCATGGCATGTACACGTGCAGTGAGCAATTTCTCTCTGTCATCATCATGGCATGTACACGTGCAGTGAGCAATTTCTCTCTGTCATCAGCATGGCATGTACACGTGCAGTGAGCAATTTCTCTCTGTCATCATCATGGCATGTACACGTGCAGTGAGCAATTTCTCTCTGTCATCATCATGGCATGTACACGTGCAGTGAGCAATTTCTCTCTGTCATCATCATGGCATGTACACGTGCAGTGAGCAATTTCTCTCTGTCATCATCATGGCATGTACACGTGCAGTGAGCAATTTCTCTCTGTCATCATCAGGGCATGTACACGTGCAGTGAGCAATTTCTCTCTGTCATCATCATGGCATGTACACGTGCAGTGAGCAATTTCTCTCTGTCATCATCATGGCATGTACACGTGCAGTGAGCAATTTCTCTCTGTCATCATCATGGCATGTACACGTGCAGTGAGCAATTTCTCTCTGTCATCAGCATGGCATGTACACGTGCAGTGAGCAATTTCTCTCTGTCATCATGGCCATGCGTGCATGGCCATGGCCTTGCTCGCACGTGCAATTAGCATTAGGGTATGTGTGCATAGTAGTGTAGTGTGCCATGCGCTGTGTACAGATGTGCTTTTTCTTTGCCTTGGTGAAAGCATCTTTGGCGAATCCATGCGAATCTGTTTAAAGGCTGTGTGTCTGACGTGGTCGTGATTTACTAAACCTTGACTTTGATGTTAATTTTTCGTTCGTTCCCTGTTGCTCCCTTTTCCTCCGGTTGCAGCGCACTTCTGTGATGCTGCTGCGCCGAATGCGCTATGCCGCATGGCCTTCACCCTATCTTGACGCATATGGTGAAGAGGTGAGTGCGTAACTGCTTTCTACTTAGAGCTCCAACGGTCCTCGAAGCAGGAGTGATATGCTGCTGTCCATTTTTCACTTAGTGCCTACTCTAACGTTACCTGGCGGTGTTGTGCATCACATCGCATTCACCAGGATGAGAACCTTCGGCGTGGGAAGCCACTGTATCTCAGCACCGACCGCTTCCACACCCTCCAATCCATGGTCAGTCTTGTTCTCTTGAGTCGCTCGGCATCTTTTGAGTCGACTCAAAAGTCACCTTGAGTCGACTCAAATGTATCTCAGCACCGATCGCTTCCACACCCTCCAATCCATAGTCAGTCTTGTTCTCTCGAGTCGCTCGGCATTTTTTTTGCTGCCCATGCGCTGGTTGAAGCATGCTGTGCTGACCCAATGGAATTCTGTGGTTTTTGCAGGTGGCATGTCATGGGGTGGATCATAATTCCCTCGTTCTCTCTCACTCCACGAGAGTACCCTTCTAGATTCAGAATCACACTGGCATTAACAGCTTCACTAGGTACCATCCCATCTCTAGGGTCTACGTCTGCAAGCTGCAAGTTAGCAAGCATCTACCGGTAGTTAGTTTTTGCTTCTCCGCCAAAGAGCAGGCAGAAACGGATGGATTAAGTTCTCTTCTATATTTTTGTAATTTGCTCGCGCACCTACGCACAGCATGTCACCGAATATGCATGGTTGTGCATATAAGGTGCCAGTTAGATTGAGGTGTAGTTCTGGTGTGGTTCGGGTGTAGTAACGATGTGTATGAATATTCGAAGGTAGGTAGTTGGGGAACCAGGGAAGTTGACGCGAGGTTGGTAGGAGAGCACCAAGGGTGAAATCCACGCGACCAATGTGATTGAACCAACCTAGGCTCGAGCCGCACATTGAGAAATGCACGGTTCGAGCCCAGGCCAGGTAAAGTCACTCGCTCACACAGCCCTGATGCTTTCCGGTTGCTATCCTTTCGTATAGTGGACTATTGTTGCCTCAGCTGTGCAGACAGGTGGCACACCGCTCAGGGAGGACCCTTGAGGTGAGAGTTACGGTACATAACTTTTATTAGAGAGTGGCTGAGGCAGCAGAAGGAACAGAGAAGAAGAGAATCTGAATGCAGGCAGATGACGAGCAGAGCTGTTTCTCCGACAAGCACCATAAAGCAAATCCCGATAACTAAATTACGCAAAGTGAGTATAGCAAACAGTGGTATTGCATGGGGCAAAAGGAAAAGTGTTTGGTGCTATCATGGCCTCGGTTGTAAGAACGAGCGGCTTCGGGTAGGGCCCATGCTTGAAATCAACCTCGATAAACATCGCTCGATATCCCACCTGTGCAGCGGAGCAGCAGAGCAGGAGGGAGCAAACAAAGCGAGACGAAGAAATATGGTTTTAACAAGGTTATGGATGGACATGGTGTGGTGTGGCACTACAAGTATATGTCATGTCAACGCATGGAAAGGAGGCCGGATACAGAGACGAAGCGAGACAGCAAAGAAACTGGCACCTGAGTTGTTTGTGTGGAGAAATGGGACTGTCAAATGGGAGCATGTAGCATCAGCTGGGGCCAAAGTGCCAGGACCCATCAGGCTGCAGGGCAGGCGTCGAGTTTCGAGACATCTCATTTCTCACTTTGGAAATGTGTTCATTGGAGGAGCTGAAGTGACTTTTGAGACGTCTCAACACACGCGCACCTTGGGAATGTCTTTGACGGATGAGCTGAAGTGCCAGAGCCCATCAGGCTGCAGCGCCGGTGACGAGCCTGAATTTGAGACACCTTGAGATTTTTTTTTTTTTTTTTTTTTTTGGAAGGAACTGAAGGGACCTCGGAGAGTTAAAAAAAAGAAAAGAAAAGGAAAAGAAAAGACGCGCACCTTGGGAATGTCTTTGACGGCTGAGCTGAAGTGCCAGAGCCCGTCAGGGTGCAGGGTAGGTGGCGAGACGGCATACTGGGAGAACGGGATGGGCTGCACACAGAGCGTGCCGAACTTGGCTATATAGGACTTTGGTAAACTCGTGAAGGGCACCGTGCTGGCAGGGAGGATGGGCGCAGGAGGATGGGTGCAGGAGGATGGGTGCAGGAGGGTGGAGGGAAAGGTGAGACGGCATACTGGGAGAACGGGATGGGCTGCACACATAGCGTATTGAACTTGGCTATATAGGACTTTGGTAAACTCGTGAAGGGCACCGTGCTGGCAGGGAGGATGGGCGCAGGAGGGGCGTAGGGGAATAGAAGAGTCTTGAGATACTTTTGAGTCGACTCAGAAGAGTCTTGAGATACCTCATAACTCTTCAAGGGAAAACATTATGAGTTGACAATAATATTAAAAAAACAAAAAGAAACACACACACACACACACACACACACACACACACACACACACCCACACACACACACACACACACACACACACACACACACACACACACACACACACACACACACACACTTGTCAAACAAGGTTGCTAAACAAGGTGCAACATCACATCCACATGGTTCACACCACTCACCCAGCGAATCATACCACTCACTCACCACCAGTCAGCCCCTGCCACGCCACTCACCACCCATTCACACCACTCACCACCCATTCACACCACTCACCACCCATTCACACCACTCACCACCCATTCACACCACTTACCACCCTGCCACACACTCACCACCCGGTGAGCCCCTGCTTGACGATGAATCGGAAGTCTCGCCTCTTGCTGCCCTGACTGGTGCGCCCCGTCCTGCACTAGGGGGGGAGGGGGGCCAATGGGAGGGGGACCAATGGGAGGGGGACCAATGGGAGGGGGGCCAACGGGAGGGGGACCAATGGGAGGGCGCCAAAGTGGGGGCTTCTGAGCCGCCCTAGTAGCTGCTTGCTGCCCTGACTGGTGCGCCCCGTCCTGCACTAGGGGGAGAGGGGGTAGCGGGCATGGAGAGGAGGGGTGTGGGGTGGGTTGGAAGGAGGGCATGGAAGAATGGGAGGAAGGGAGAGAGATGCAGCCGTTCATTGCATTGCATCTCAGAGGCGTATGAGTCGACTCTAAAGTCACGATGATTCAGAAAATTTTAGAGTAACGATGATCTAGAGATTCTTAAAAACACAATGATTCTTAGAATAAGAGTCAGCTCAACAGCCTTCATTTCAGCCCGCTCTAACCCTTCCTCACTCCCACCAGACCCCCACATCTCTCCCCCTCTCCCTCCTCGTTCTCTGCCCCATCCCCTTCCCCTCCCCATCCCCTTCTCCCCAGCACCTCCCCTACCGTTTTCCCTCCCCAAACCCTTCTCACCATGCTCTAACCGCCAGTGGCTTCCTGTCTGACGTGGCATGAATAGTGAACGTGGACCAATCAAACCGCCACGTCAGCCGCGGCCAGTCGACAGCTGGCAGCCTGGGAACGCAACTCCAGGGGCGGGTGTGTGCTGCTGCCGACGCCGCTAGCGCTGCCGCTGCTGCTGCTCCTGCCTCTACCTCTGAGAGACTAGAAGGAAGACGGTTTTGAGTGAGTGAGGATGAGGATGAGGAGGAGGAGGTGGTGGGGGTGGGAATGGGGTGCGTCCAGGTTAGGGAAGGGCGGGAGGAGGCGGGGAGAGAGGCACAGGAGGAGTTGATGTGGAGGAGAGAGGAGAAGACGGAGAGGGACGCATCATAGGCCTGCCATGTTGGGGGGGGAGGGAGGGGACAAGGGTTTCAGGTTTAAGGTCGGGTTAGGGTTTAGGGAAAGGGAGTTGGAGGGGAGTGAAAGAGAGGGGGTACTGGAATAGGGATGGGATGGGCAGAGGAAGAGGAAGCATTTAATACACCTTATAAGGGTGTCTTAAATTGTGTCTTTAAGATACGCCTGCCATAATAAGTAGGGGAATAGGGACGGGAAGAGGAATGAGATGGAGCATGGATGGAGCGTCTGCCCTGTGGGGAAAATGGAGGCGAGTTTGAGACGACTCAACGGGAGATGGCAACAAGGTGAGTTTTGAGTCGACTCAACGGGAGATGGCAACTAGGTGAGTTTTGAGTCGACTCAAAAGTCACCTCGTTACATTGGCACACGACGCTTTTGAAATGGAGGCGAGTTTAGAGACGACTCAACGGGAGATGGCAACAAGGGCGTGGGAGTGGATGGGGAGGGGAGAGAGGCAAGGAGAGAGAGAGAGGAGAAAGACGGTCCGTTCGTACCCACTGCGACATCTGAATGACCATGTGGTCCAGGTTGGCCACGATCTTGAAGAGAGTGGGGGCTGGCAGATCGTTGAAATAGAAGTACCTGCCAATCCAAGCCCAGCGCATTTGCATCAACATGCAGGGGTGAGTGAGATGAGAGGTGACTTTTGAGTTGACGCAAACGCCACTTTTTTATTAAAAAAAGAAACAGAAACAGAACTGCTTCTGGGAAAGGTACTTCTAAGGCAAGTGCATTTGCAACCAGGGGTGAGTGAGAGCATGACCTGTGGAGAGTGGGTGGGTGGGTGCAAATCAAGCCGGGAGACACTCCTCCTTTCTACTGAAAGGGTTGATATGCTGTAACATCATAATATCATTTATCACATATCTTATATGTATATTTGTGTATATGGGGCACTCACGAGTCATCCATGGAGAAGAATTCATCGTTGGAAGCGGCAATGAGCAGCTTGGGCATGGTCAGGCGGTCCCGGAAGAAGTACGGATCCGTGTAGCTCTGTGCAGAGGGGTTGGGAGGGGTTCGAGAGGATGGAAAGGTTGAATGGGTGGGAGGGGTTGGGAATAAGCAACTCTTTCAGGCCGTAGAAGATGAGCAGCTTGGGCATGGTGTGTGAGGGGGTGGTATTTACAAGAAGTACAACTTTTTTAGGTGCCTCACAAGATGAGCAGCGAGGACATGGTGAGTGAGGCGGTATTAAAACATATTACGGATCCGTGTAGCCCTGGCAGAGGCAGGAGGGAGTGCAGGGCGAGTGCAGCAGCGTGCAGGAGGGAGAGCAGGGCGAGTGGAGCAGCGTGCAGGAGGGAGAGCAGGGCGAGTGCAGCAGCGTGCAGGAGGTAGAGGCGGCACACCGAGCGGAGAACCATTGCCCACCACCTTCTCTCCACTCTCACCATGATGTGGCGCATCTGTGGCGAGTGCAGCAAGTGGGTGAGGTTGTAATCCGCATAGAACCGCCCCAGGATGGGCACGGCCCCCAGGGAGTCGAGAAGGTGCTGCATGTTGGGCTGGAAGTTGATGAGATCGTATCCGTACGATATGAACGCCACCACTCGCTGTAAGGGAGGGGAAGAGTAGGGGAGGGAGGGATGGAAGTGGTGAGGTTTGGGCAAGTGCCAAGGGTTTGGGTGAGTGCGGGCAACAGGTGCTGCATGTTGGGATGGAATGAAGTTGATGAGATCGTAGCCGTACGATATGAAGGCCACTCGCTGTAGGGAGAGGGGGAGGAAGAAGGTTTTGAGGAGGGGGAAAGAGAGAGAGAGTATTCTGTGGAGGGGCGGAGCAGCGATGCGGCGTGAAAGGAGACGCGAAGT